CAACAATGGCTCTGTTTGCTCGATCATAGCCATCATATCCATTTACTAACAGATGGCTCTGCCGGCTCTGTTGCCCTATCCCTAAGGCTTTGCGGGTAATCCTTTGTTCCGATGTGCATTAGTCTCGTAGTGACTAACCTGATCCATTGGCTGTGACGTTCTGATTCTCTGACAAGATCTTGGTTTAAAAATAATAAAATAAGAAAAAAAATAATCTTAAATTAAGTATATTAAATTATTTAGAATTAAGATATTAGTCTACTTATAGATTCATAAAAATTAATATTAATAAGTAAATAAAAGTTTAATTTAATATAATAATATAATATTAAATCTATTTAATTACTAAATATAAAAAGATTAAACTAAAGAGAAGAAAAGGAAAAAATAATTATCAGCTCTTTTTCTCCTACTTATACTTCCTTCCATTTTAGATACCTGTAAGCTATCTCTATTATATGCCAATGCCTAGTAATCTAGATTTCTGGAAGGTTCCAACAATGTAGAATACTGGCTGGCAAAGGCTATTTACTCTTCTTAATATCACATAAATCCTTTAGCAATCTGCAGTGTGAATCAAAACATAGGGTAATCCCCACAAGGCATATCTAGCCCCACATCTTCCCTGCATGTGATTCGTCCACGGGAGGCGGCCCGCGGGTACTTCCGCAGTAACCGTGTGCCGCCAAGCCAAATCGTACTAGGCCGTCACACTTATTATATAAAAGAAAATTTATAATTTATAAGTTATATATAAGAAAAAAAAGCAAAAGTATATATAATCTAAAAAATAGATATCTTATAAGTAAGAAATTACTAAAGAGGATACTTAAGTACTTATAAATAGGCTAATTAAAGCATTTTAAGCTCCTATTACTACTCTAGTTAAGTCTAAGCTTCTAGTCTTTTAATCACATATACACTATTAATTTCAATATAGTGAGTATAGAATTTTTAGGCATAGAAAGTCTTAATGCTTTAATCATATTATTAATTAATTTTTTATATATAATTATTATTTTAGGTTAAAAATTAAGGTTTAAAATCTATACAAGACGCTTTCTTGAAGCTGAGTGATCCGCTCGGTGGTGTGATCCGCTCGGGTGTGGATTACGTTAACTAATATATCTTGGATGCTTACTTAATAAGCAGCCCGGAAATCCGAGCTCGAGCTTCATTCTTCGTCTTCGCACTTCCCCTCTCACAATCTAAATGCCTATACAGCACGATGGAAGGAAAGACAGGTTGTCCATCTTGTGGAACTCGGTTCAACCACCGTAAGTCCCGAGGCTTTTCTTTCGGGGGATCGCATCTAACCCTTGCAGGGTCATCGCTCATTCGCCATCTGAGGAATAAGTGCAACAAAAATCAACTACCACGGCGTAAGGCGTGCCAGCAATGCGTTGCCGATAAAACAAGGTGCAACTTGAAACGACCCAGTTGCTCACGATGCTATATGCGCGGCATTACCTGCCAGTATACTAGTAGTCGTGGTGCTGAAGAGCCCGACGCTCCTGCGAACGAGAGCAGTGACTTTGGAAGCATTCCGTCTCTAAATGCCCCAAATGCCTTCCAACCACAGTTGATACAGTCCACATTTGACCCTGATCTGTTTGATTCCTTTTTCTCAGATTTAGGATCTTGGTCCTCGGTGCAGCCATTGGACTTGAGTTTACGGTCTCCGCAACTTCTGGACAGCGAAGGACTGGCATCCTTTGATCATCGCTACGGACACATATCTGACTTAGCCCCACCCTCTCAGTCTCAACCTTCATCGGACCCAAGTTCAGTTGCTTTAGCAAACCACAGCATGGAGCTCATATTCCGAGTTCTTCGCACCTGGCCGCGGATGCTGGCTGAAGACTTCCAGCTTCCTCCGATATTTCATTCCACACATTTTGCGCTGCACAAGACTCTGCCACGGCCATTAGCGACTTGCATTACTTTGGCTAAGATGTGGCACGGCCAGTGTGTAGGGGCTGAGGAGATTGTCAGGGACACAATTCTTAGGGAGCTGGATCTCATTGTTGATCAGGTAAGCTTGCATGTGCATAATTGCGAAAACTTGGCTAACAGGAGGCCAAGACCAAGTCCGAAGAACTTAGCGAAACGATGCTGCTGACAGTTATACAAGCGGTAGTAATTTATACTATAATCCTTCTTTCCCCATCGGAAAGCTCACAGAGCCCCGCCACCAATGACGATCTTGTCTTTCGAAAAGTCGAACATCTTGTCTGCCATGTAGTGCGTGGTGGACTTTTCCTCAAAGAGGAGAGAGCACAGACACGGCCATGCTGGGAGGCTTGGATACATGTCACATCCAAACGGCGAGCAGTACTCTCGTTATATCTCCTCCATTGGGCTTACTCAGTGTTTCACAAGGTTCCATGCTTTGACTGCAGAGACCTTGGATTCATGCCTGCACCAGCTCCAAAAATGCTCTGGCAAGCGCATACTGAACAGGAGTGGAATACAAAATATATTCATTGGCTGTCGAGATGGAGCGGGCAGATTTATCTTCAGGCTGAGTTTGGGGATATCCCACCCGGGGCTGCCTTGAATCCTAGAGCAGAGAAGTGGTTAGGAGAAGCAGATGAGTTTGGATTCGTTATGCTCTCAATCGGTAATTCGTCTCCTTTAATTCTTTTTTAACTGTCCGGCATTGTTCTGATCTAACATTTTCTGAAGTCAATGCTACAGACTTTGACCCGCCGTCGCTCAAGGCATTGCCTCAGTGATCATGTGGTGTTGGCTATCTTACTCACGGATTTAAATACAATTCTATACTGGTGATTGACAATACTCACAGTCAATGGCTAACTCATCATCACCGACAGTAACTACCGTAGACATGTTAGTCTGTGGTGGTATTGATATACGCATCCTAGTAGATTGCCTGGATTACCTCCTTGGTAAATCGCGAATATGGCCCAGCTGTACGGGAAGTTTCAGGGATGCAACCACGGCGCTCCGTATGACGTCGTACATGTAGGTGCGTATGCCACGGTTCCACCCTACTTTCTAATACTTGGTTTTTCCGACTAAGCCCGGAATTCCGGGTTCAGACTCGATATTGTTTACCTCACTCGGTTACAGTGAAAAAGTGAGTCGAACACTACTATATAAAGGAAGTAAATTGAATAATATGTCCAGGATATCAAAAAGGTTGATCCAGAACTCCATTGGGCATCACAAGAACTTGCACAAAGTGCACTATGGCGCCCTTAATCATATATGGCGCAACAGGATACACTGGCAAGATGGCTAGTGAGCATGCAAAGAGTCTCGGCCTAGACTTTATAATCGCTGGCAGAACAGAGCAGAAACTTAAAAGCCTAGCGTCTCTACTTGATGTGGGCTATTCCGTGTTCGATGTCGACCAAGGTGGCCTGATTGATTCAGTTTTGAAAGATGCTTCTGTCCTTCTTAATTGCGCTGGTCCTTTCATGCGTACCACCAGAGCCTTCATCGACGCGTGCATACGAAACAAAGTGCACTATCTCGACATTGCAGCAGAGATCCAAAGCTATCAACAAGCGCAGAAGTTCGAAGAACACGCAAAAAACGCGAACGTCATGCTTTTACCTGGATGTGGTGGAAGCGTTGCAATGCTAGGCTGTCTCGCCAGCCATGTTGTAGAACAAGTCAAAAATCCTCTCGAGATCGATATTGCCCTACACGTTGCCGGACCAATGTCACGAGGGTCAGCAATCAGTGCAGCAGAGAACATGACAAGTGAATGCCTCCAGCTCGTTAATGGAACATTGGTTGCACAGGATGCCAGCAACACCGCCGAGTTCGATTTCGATGATGGCCGCGGGCATGTAACGTGCTTCCCAATAACATTACCCGATCTCCTCACCATCCAGAGATCGGCAAATGTATCCAACATCAGGACTTACATACACGCCTCTGGCGACAGCTTTCCAACCGGGAATTTTGATTCGCTGCCTGAGGGTCCAACTGTCGCGCAAAGAGAAGCAGCGCCATATCACGCGGCAGTCACTGTCATTTCTGAAGATGGAGTTGCCCGACGTGCCGCTCTCCACACAATCAACGGGTACACCTTCACATCAGTAGCATCAGTACACGCCGCAAAACGAGTTCTAGATGACGAGGCCAAACCTGGCTTCCAGACACCTGCTGGGCTATTTGGCAAGGATTTTATTCATACTATATCAGAGACAGAGATCAAAGGCCTCTAGCCTAGTTAGCCTATATGTAATCGAAGAATGCCTAGGTAATCTTATATGGCATGCATGGCAATATCCTGAACTATCATCTAGGTGTACGGAGATGTAACTTAGAGGGCTAATCTAATCTGATCCTCGATCTTGGAGATCGGCGGCTAAGCGATTCTCGGTAAGAATCCCCTCTGTGGAGCTAGTCAACATCAATTCAAGTCTCCAGCAACCCGAGGGTTCGCTGCTGTACATGATGTTGTCTTGAGTCTTGGCCTGACTTATAAAAACCGTAGAAATATCTACCCAGATTATATGGAACTCGGTGCTTAGGTTTATACTAGATTAGGAATCTACAACATGAAAGTTGGGTGATCGAAATAAACATCTGCTAGAGTTCCCCCTTTGAGACAAGCGCGGTGTCCGTACCCCCCCGCAGTCCATTTGACCAATCACAGAAAACCAAGAAATCTCTGAGCCAATCAGACCCGGTTACACCCATCAAACCTTTTCAAATCGTCGTCCGACGTTTTGTCCTCCTAAAGCAATTGCTAACGTATGATAAGGCGATACAAGGCGATAGTTGTGTGTGCTCTGATTGATGGGTCGATTGCTGGATGGAACCTACTTTATTCTTATCGCCCCGCAACAACCAAGATCCCATCTGGAAAAGGGGCTCCGACGTAATTGTTTATGTACTAGACAATCGCCTCTTTAATCTCTCCTCGGCGACTGTTGTCTGTCTCTGCAGTCATTATTGACATATGACTCACATGCTCCAAGGATATCAGTTTTGAATCATGTCGACTGATATTAACCCTGAGAAGCATGATGCTGGAGACATTATTAATGCCTCCGGCCACAAGCAAGAGCTGCAACGGAATTTCGGCCTTTTGAGTATTTGTGCCATAGCTGTGACGACGGGAAATACCTGGATTGCGCAAGGTGGTAGTGTGGTGAGTAACCAAACTTCAATTATTTGCATCAGCTACTTATCACGGACCTCATGCAGACTATCAACATAGCCAACGGAGGTCCGGCTGGCATTATATATGAATTGTATGTTCACTAGCCTCCCTGTATAGATGCTGTTCTTTTTAACCTTTCACTTAGCATCGCAGTATCAGTCTGCTATTGGCTAGTAGCTGCTTCAATTGCTGAATTGGCGTCTTCCATGCCCTCGGCAGGCGGAGGTATGTTTCCATGCCTATGGCTCATTCCCATTATATCTCAAAGTTAACATTTGAGCTTGTTTAGTATACCATTGGGCCTCCGTCACCGCGGGAAAATATGGCCGACCTTGTGGATGGTTTGCTGGCTGGTGGAATTCTTTAGCCTGGGTGTTCGGTGCAGCATCGATGTCCTCCATTCTAGGAAATCAAACGGTTTCGATGTACACCCTGTTCCATCCGGATTTCACACCCAAGGCATGGCACGTCTTTGTTAGCATGCTCATTTGCACTTGGATTTGCTGCCTTGTCGTTCTCTTCGCCAACAAACTCCTACCTCAAATAGGTAACCTTGGCATGGCTCTCATTCTGGGTGGTGTATTTGTCACGATAATTGTCTGTGCTGTTATGCCATACGTCAATGGGGTAGGATATGCTTCGAACGACTTTGTATGGCGTAGCTGGACAAGCGACACTGGGTATTCTAGTCAAGGTTTTGTTTTCGTTGCCGGTATGCTTAATGGGGCTTACAGCGTGGGCACGCCTGATTTGACGTCTCATTTGGCCGAAGAAATCCCATAGTAAGTAATTTCTGGTATCATTTCACAGCCATGAATCACTCCAACTGACTCTTTATGTCTTCGCAGTCCTAGTAGAAACATACCAAAGGCTGTTCTAGCCCAAATGGTCATCGGCTTCATCACCGGTTTTCTATATATGATCGCCATGTTTTATTCGATACAGTCGTTGGATGACGTCTTGAATAGTGTCTTTGGCTTTCCTCTGGCGGAGATTTACCGTCAAGCGACAGGAAGTAGAGGCGGGGCTTTGGGCCTCCTCATAGTCGCTTTCCTGCCCACATTGATCACTTGCATTGGGTGCTATATCACTGCCACTCGAGCGGTTTGGACACTTGCTCGGGATAACGCGACGCCATTCTCTGGTTTCGTCGGACACATTAACACAAGACTACATAACCCATTCAATGCCACCTTGGTATGTGGCTGTCTAATCACCATCCTTGCATGCATATATGTAGGCTCGACCACCGCCTTCAATGCCTTTGTCGGATCCTACGTTCAGCTTTCAACTCTCTCGTATTTCACAGCCATCTTCCCTCACGTTCTGTCGCGCCGGTCACTCATCACTCCTGGGTACTTTTACATGAATAACTGGATTGGTTACATGGTCAACATTCTCAGCTGCATTTATATTGTCGCCTTTATCGTCATTTTCTGTTTCCCATATACCATTCCCACCAATGCTCAGTCGATGAATTACGCTAGTCTGATCACAGGCGGACTCACTATCTTCGTGGCTATCTGGTGGTTTATCCATCAGCGCCATTACGTGGGGCCCCAAGCAATTCCCCTGGCTGATCGTATGGTTGCGGAGGATGCAAAGTAGGGCTGGAATGCCTTGTATCTGAAATCTATTTGAAAATTGGCAAATTTTGATCATACTATCAAAATATAGTGCCCTGTGTTGACTCTAATTTTTCTGGAAGATGTATAAATTTGTAGGAGTACAAAAGATAAGACTAAAGATGATAAACGATAAACAATAATGGCTATTTCAGGCACTAACATCACGTGAGTTCGCGGCATCCGCGCGTCGTATCACGCGTTTGCCGGGGCCAGAAAGATATGAAATTCACCACAGCTCTTAACGGTGCATGGTTGCTTGGCCGATCATGCCTTTCAAACCATTTCGGCCTCCGCTTATACGAAAGAATATAACTCCCGATTTCTCCAAAGATTCAAGGAACGATGACTTCGACGTTCATCCCCCAGCCAAACGACCGCGTCTCGAGGGCGGCAGAAGTGACGAGGCGGAAGAAAAGAAAAGGACACAACCAGAGATCTCTGAATCTATACGATCCAACGATGGAGCTGCAGTGAAGAAGTCGACAGCACGCCCTCCATTAGTCCGCGTTTTGAATACACCGAATGAAATTGAGACATGTGTGGTGAATAACGGAGATACCAGCACCGACGTAGAAGCATATTATAATGTTCTTTGGTTGGTTTTATGTTGTGCCTCGTATATTCGACGATATTGACAAATATGATAGGCGTAAATTCACAACCAAAAAGCACAAAACTTGGGACGGAGACGGAATTCTAGTGATCCGAGGAGGATATGGTTATCTACGCGATGTGACCGGCCGGGACATGGGCCGCATTGTGATCAATAAACTTCTCGATTGCGGTGCTAGTTTAACAATAGGAGGGAAGGACGTCGAAATTGAGTCCGCCATTTCGAAAAAAGACTATCTGTCAGGGAAAGAATTTTTGGGTGGTGCACGAAAGCCATCGTCTCCACCTCCCTCTCGGGTCAAAGCAACGGTTTCTACAAGCGTTGCCAAACGCCAAAAGCCTGGTCAAAATTCTATCACCGCGCCCGCATCAGGCGCCTTGCCAGTGAAGACGACTACCGAAACGGGTCAGGTGGAACAGCCAAAATTGTCAGTGAAACACCTTAATTCTGCAGTTGCGCAAAGTAGTGCTGTGGGCACCGCTTTCAAGAATCCAATGAAGGAAAGATCATCTTCAACTCCTCAGCCTGTCAGTAATCCCATTCCTCGTCACGACCCCAATGCTGCAGGAGCTTTGGTTATGAAACGGCCCAAGTCTGTCCCGAAAGGACAGTCAATTGTTGATGTCGTTGTTGATCCCTTTCTGACTAAACACCTTCGCGAACATCAACGAGAGGGCGTGAAGTTTCTGTACGAATGTGTCATGGGCCTCAGAGACTTCAATGGCGAAGGAGCTATTCTGGCTGATGAAATGGGACTTGGTAAAACCCTACAAACAATAACACTGCTATGGACTCTGCTTAAGCAAAATCCAATATACGGAGCGTCTCCTGTGGTGAAGAAAGCTCTAATAGTTTGCCCAGTTACCCTCATCAATAACTGGAGGAAAGAGTTCCGCAAATGGCTTGGCAATGAACGGATTGGCGTTTTCGTTTTCGATGATAAGCGCAAGCGATTGACTGATTTCACAATGGGGAAGGCCTATAATATTATGATCGTCGGCTATGAGAAGCTTCGCACTGTTCAAGAAGGGTTGGCCAAGGGACATGGTATTGACATCGTCATTGCAGATGAAGGACATAGACTTAAAACGGTGCAGAACAAAAGTGGTCAAGCTATTCAATCCTTGAACACAACAAAGAGGATTATTCTTTCAGGAACACCCATACAAAACGACCTCAGCGAGTTCTTTGCAGCAGTTGATCTGATCAACCCTGGAATCCTCGGTACTTACAAAAATTTCATGAAAGAGTTCGAAGGACCTATTGTGCGCAGTCAGCAGCCCGAAGCAACAATGATAGATATTGAGAAAGGTGAAGCAAGAGGGGAAGAACTTCGAGACCTTACCTCCATGTTCATTCTACGCAGAACAGCCGATATTCTCTCGAAATATCTCCCTCCAAAAACAGAATATGTGATACTATGTCAGCCTACCTCCGTCCAAGCTAGTATCTATCGCCATGTCCTTGCATCTCCAATATTCCAGACTGCATTAGGCAATACGGAAGGAGCGTTTAGTCTTCTCACTATCTTAAAGAAGCTTTGCAATAGCCCGTCATTGCTCAATGCAAAAGCGGGTGATGAACCTCAGAATTCTACGATGGCAGCAGTCCTATCGACTCTCCCAACAAACCTCGCTCGACAATTCTCCCCTTCATCGAGCGGAAAGATAAGGGTCCTGGACCAACTTCTCCACAATCTACGAACAACCACATCCGAGAAAATAGTCCTTGTATCGAACTACACATCGACACTCAACCTACTCGGCATACTACTTTCATCTCTTTCCTTGCCCTTTCTCCGTTTAGATGGCTCCACGCAACCCGCAAAAAGACAGTCTCTTGTTGATGAGTTCAACCGTGCCCCGGCGAGCACTTGTTTCGCATTTCTCCTCTCTGCCAAAGCCGGCGGCACAGGCCTCAATCTCACCGGCGCCAGTCGTTTAGTTCTTTTCGACGTAGACTGGAACCCAGCCACTGATCTCCAAGCCATGGCACGTATCCACCGGGATGGGCAGAAACGCCACTGCTACATCTACCGCATCATGCTAAAGGGCGCGTTGGAAGAGAAAATATGGCAACGCCAGGTGACAAAGATCGGCTTGGCAGACAGCGTCATGGAGTCAAAGTCCAGTAACATGGCCCAATTCTCGCGCGAGGAACTCAAAGATCTCTTTCGACTAAATGAGAGTAGGAGCTGCCAGACTCATGAGTTGCTGAATTGTAAATGCGGCGGAAAAGGCACGTCACCACTACCACCACCACCACCTCCTCCTCCTCCTCCCTCTCCTCCTGCCACGGTCGCTCCGATTGTGATATCAACAGACGAGGAGGACAATGATTATGAGGACGAGCAGACGAATGGTTCCAACGGAAATGCAAAAAAGACCGATTCATCAGACGCAGAGTCCATAGATTTCCCCGATGTCCCGACTCTCATGAAAGCATCGCAACTCAACATGGAAGAACAAGAATCCCAAATCCGTCGCGGTGACCACGCTCTCCAAAGATTGAGAAAACGACTTGGCCTAAAAACCGACAAATTTTCATCCTCATCACCAAAGGGGAGAACAAGCGGCAATGAAAGAGCAATGCAAGACGACTATGACGAAAACCAGCCCGCAGACATCAGCGAACATTCCAAGATCCAACGATTCCTCGCTCAATACTCGCACATTGATCCCGCTGCGTTCAGCAGTTCTGTCTCCCCAGAAGAAGGACAAGAACTAGATGATAATATATGCAGTCATATTAGAGACCCGATTCTACAGGCTCTACTTGCTGATGAAGATCATGGGGTAGGGTTTCTGTTTGAGAAGACGGCTTTCCCGCCATAATCTATTTCTAGTGCTACCTAATCTTTATGATAATGATGGTTTATATTCTGTTTATTTGTTGGCGTTTGCTTTATTCGGGTTATGATATTTGGATTAGATGTTTAAATACATACTACGTATATATAGCATGGAGTATATATGCAAAAGAAAGTGTCAAGGGATTGATCTGTCCGCTGAACAGACAAGAGCTATATACATAATCGACATTGGGTTATCGGAAGATAACTCCACTGACAAAATTGGAAGTAAATGCAATACATGATGATAATCGTCAGCAACATAACAGTGGGTGAAAAGCACATCATCCAATACCATAAAGGGAACGTAAGTTCAAAAATAAAACATTTCAAAAATGCAAAAAGATACATATATCCAAACGCATGAAATAGTAGTGAGCCTACCGTAAACTGGACAGAAAAAGGCAACAGGGTATTCTCAGAGTGCAAAGGAAAATAAGTCTAAGTAGGTGGGTAGATCATATGCAAGTTTTCAGAAATGGATAAGGAGGATTAACAGATCAGGCTGTAAATCCCACTAAGATCGTCAAAGTAGACTGTAAAATGGAAAAAGGGAAGGACTATTCAAAGTCTGGAAGGGAGCGCATAGGCAATAAAAAGGAAAGAAAAGATAGAAGGAAAGAAGAGAGGGACAGTTAGTAACGTAATTTCCCAACCAACCCAAATGTATATGCAGCCTCCGCCTCACTCTTCATTTGTATCATATAAATCTTGAAAATTCCGGGAGCGACTCCGCCTGTTTGCTGTATACCACCGCCTGCATGCTCTTCCCATACGGAAACGGCGATACCGGTTCGCGCAATCCGTTCAAAGGAGCTTTCACCAAGGCACACATCTAGTAGGACCTCGCCTGCGGTCTTGCCTTGAATAAGAATACGCTTTTCTTGTGGCATAACTACCCTCTGTGGCGATGCAGCGGGTGTCGGTGTCGAGGCTCCATCGGCTGTAGGCTCATCCTCCGACTCCCCAGCTACTTTTCCTGCGTGTGATACATCGTTGGAAGGATCGTCTTCCGTAGGTAAATCCATACTACCAGCTGTTCCAGGCCGAGATGGTTTCGGTGTGACAGGCATAATTGTCAATCGAGCTGCGCCCATGTCGCGCCACCGTGTCGTGCTCTCCCGGAGATAAAGCCTAATCTTTGCGTTCGACAATCCAATACCATCTGCTCCCTTGATAGCTGTTGCAAGTGCTGTAAGACGGGAGCTACCAACACCGCCTGAATAAACAGTGCTTCCGTCTCGGCTTCCCGTGCGAGAAGTAACGGTGGAGCGGGCAATGTTGAAGAATTTGCTTCCGGTGCCAAATCTCTTCAGAGCGGAGAATGCGCTGCTCATAGTTCCAACACTGCTTTCTGAAGCCATGCCTATAGAAGGCGCTTGCCTTGCTCTGTAACTATTTTTTCTTCGAGGAAATCCGAACCAACTTGTTCCTTGATTAGATCCTGTGGAGTTATATCTGGAAAGAGAGGCAGGCTGATATGGTCCGCGAGCATTTTGTAGAGCGATATATGTTGGGTTATTTATACGAGAATGGTTTATAGACCCGTATAATGCATCGCATTCGTCAGCATTCCGCGAACGGAACATAATATTGTTGCTGGTCTTTATTTTTGATCTTTCCGTAGGAGGCGACCGAATGCTGATATCTATTGCAGTGCCACGTCGAATTGGGACCAAGGGCGTTAGTTCTAGAGCGACAAGGGGACGAACTTTGCGTCTGCCGTCACTTCTTAGATCGCTGTTCTCCCCCGGAGATTGTGAACTAGCTGTCGTCATCTTATAGGCTTCGATGAGACCAGGAGTTATTACCACCTCACATTCGTCAGGAAAGAGGCTATCCCACTTCCCCTTATCTGACCAAAAGAACAAGGACGCGATAGCCTTTGACGCTTTGGAAGGCTGGGAAGGAACGGAACGATAAGGTCCTTGTGATGCAGAGTTAGATGGTGATAACGTATCATCACCTTCAAAAGCCGGAAGGGAAGCGGGTGTTTGCGATTTTCGTGCCTGCTGATATTGCATAGGAGGTAATTCGTCATCCTCATCCTCTAGTTCCTCGTCGGATGTGTCGGAAGTATCTGAGCAAGAATACTCCATATCATAGTGACGAACCGTAGACGAGTCAGATTCAGAAGACGAATCGGAAGCACTTGATGGTTCGTATTCGTGCTTTAATGGTGATGACGATCTTCGCTTCTGTCTATTGGCGGGTGCGCTTAGCACTGGAGAATTCTTGAGCTGCGCTTGACTGGGAGATCGATGAGGAGGAGGTGCTGGTGCTTCATCCTCTTCATCAGAGAGGCCTTTTTGTGAAGAAGGCGAAGGGGACTGAATATCTGGCCAGATTTCGTCCTCGTCAGAGCTTGTGTCAGCAGATAGAGCACTGTTGGTGCTGCTGCCGCCCTTTCGTAATTTCGGAATAGTCGGCATTTTCATAGATGGCACAGACGATAACCGTTGGTCTTTCTCGTCGTCGTCCTTCTCTTCCATCGATTGATCTCGGCTGCTGCGGCGACTCGTAGCTTTAGGACTCGTTTCAACATTTTTCCCAGCATAAAATCGTGCAGCTGCTTTTGGGGTTGACTTAGGTGAATCAACTTCTTGGTCGGGCCCAGGTGAAGGTCTTGGGGATGTTTCTATTGGGGTCATTTGGTCCGCGTGACGAGATCGTCTTTTGGCCTTGGCTCTTTTCAAACCAGGAGATGCTTTCCCGTCAATCGTTTTGTGTTTCTCGTTAAATTCCTTGGCAGATGGCAGTGATGCACGAGCGTCAGGCGATATGGGTGTTCGAGGGCTATCAACTAATGCGTAGTCTGATTCTGTAGTAATTGCGGAAGTCAAAGAGTTGCTTGAAGTTGCTTCAGAGGCAGAGCTTAACATGCTAGGTCCAGAACTGTCCACAGTCGAGCTCTTTCCTGCACGACTAATAACGCTCGCTTGTTCACCAATTGGCACGTCAATCTGACTTGGGCTAGGTAAACGCAACTTCGGTGTGGTTAAAGATGAAGATGTTTCCCCTGTAGTTTCATTGGAAGCTTTGCGCCTCCGGCTCCTTGTACGGTCGACAAACTTTTTGATTCGGGGTATGGGTGGAGGTACTGGTTCTAAGCCTAGCAGCTTAACCCACTCGAAGCCAGATTCCTCATCGTCAATAGTTAAAGATAGCAATTCTTGCCATTCACCATCCTCCGTGGCAGATTTACCCCGAACCATCACGACGATTTCACCTTTGCGTTCGCCACTTCGAGCAGAGACACAATTCGTTTCGATTGGTGGGAAAAGAAGCCAACGATCAGTATCGTCGATTTCACAGATGAGAAGATCACCTCCCGGTCCAGTATCAGGAGCGTTGTCTCTGAGCAATAATTCTGCATGGCAATCAATCATTTGGCCACTTGAATGCATTAATGATAGGTTGAAAAAGTCACGAGCAAGGACCCGTCGTGTTTTATCAACGACCACATCGGTCAAAACAGCTAAAGTCTCGGTATCTCGAGCTCTGGTGCTATCAATATACGCAGCAGATTCGTCCTCAAGTCGAGCGCGTTCTTCGTGAGAGCGTTGTCGTGCTCGTTCAACAAGCTCCTGATACGCTTCGGCAATTTGTTGGGCTTTCGGTGAATGTTCCACAAAATCGATCCCCTTAAATGTTTTGAACAGGTACTTGAGGCGTACAAGAGGCCTTTTCAATAGATATGCAACATCCACTTTCTCGCCATCGCTATCAATGATATCGCCATTTTCGTCTCTGTCCAACCCCTGATCCAAACTTTGGGTTTCAAGTTTAGCCGATTCGTCCTCGTCAAGAGGAGCAAGATTCACTACCACGTCTTGGAAGCCCATGCGCCAAGCTTTGAGATAGTCACGGTACACCTTTTGAGCACCCTGTGCCCATCCGAGCAGTGGCTCCGGGTCTTCCAAAGGAATACGTTTATGTAGCGTTTTGAGACGCTCCAAAGCAACGCCCATGTCGACAATAGGCCTAGTAAAGTTGATATCATCTTTGGGATCTGCAGAGGGTCGAAACAGGCCCGCTGCGATAGCGGAGTCTGAGCGAGAAAGAACACAGCTCAAAAGAACGGGAATTACGCCGCCAACCAAAGTTCGCAATTCACGCATGTACTTCGTTTCATCCGAGGAGAGCTCTTTCATTAAGTCTGCCATCGTTGCTGTCTCCAAGCGCGTCCGAATACTCCTGATGCTGCGAGAAGAGCGAACACTACGTCTGCCCGATTTCGGATTGGACAAGATGGACATCAAATCCGAATGCTTCGTTAACCGCCGTTGAAGCCCGCTTCCGAAGTTGGGAAGTGATTCTGGATCAAAGTGATCCCGTTTCTCGTCGTCTAGTTCTCGTTCAGCAGATTCTGTGATCTCTGACTTGGACAAATTCGTTTCACTGCCGATAACCGATCTGTCGTTCACATCGCTACTCAATGTCTCCTCAGAAGCAACAGTAGACAGTTGATGCATCCCCGTGCTTGGGAAAGGCCTCCTCAGCCTCAAAGGTAGAATCTTCTCTTGGGCCGACAATTCGGACATATCATCAAGCGCAACATGATCATCTTGCTTCGTCCCATCTCTCATTCGTGATGACTTAGTTGGGGTCGATGACAGATCTTCATTAGACTGTTTTGAAATTACCGACGATGACTCTGATTTGCTTTTTCTTCGAATGGAGGTGGTACGCTCCTTGTGTCTTAAAGCTGGGGATTCACGGGCCTTGTTTGCTTTTCCACCGGCCACGCCCGGTCCACTGGAGCGGCGCTGGTAGTCCTTACGGCCACTCTTCCCATCTGCTGATTGATCATTGGTCGCTGAAGAAATGTCGCTCGATTCCTCGAGGATCCTAGATTCTGAACTTCGGGACAAGGCCCTGGCTGTCCTGGACCTAGTCTTTAGTGGTGCTGGTATCTCTACCGGTGTATCGTCATTCCCATCTACAAATGGGTCCGGCTGAGCAGAGAGCCAGGCTGCAATCTTGTCGCCTCGGCTTGCAACTGGCGGTGCACGTGGAGGAGCTGGTTTGGCAAACATCTTTCTAGACTCATCTATGACTTGGTTCAAGAGTCCACTTTTGGGCTTGCGAGTCTCTTGTGGGATAGATGGCCCCCGCCGCCTCCTTCGTGACAACTCAGAGAAGTCCGCCTCACTTGCAGCCCATTCATCGTTGTCTTTGGGGGGCGGAGTAGTTCGTCGCATTCCTTCGAGTATGGATTGGCCAGATTCTTCATCGTTGAAAGATGACTCGGACATCTCAGGGCCTTGCGAGAGTCCCTTTTCAGGATAGTGACCATCATCCTTGTATATATATTTGGTGGTTTTGGTAGCCCGTGGTTTCTTCTGAACAGCCAAGGCGCTTGCTCTGGTGCCTTCGACGCCAAATTTTGACGACTTTCCAACTTCAAGCACATGGTCCTTCCGATATGGGCTTTTATCTGTCAAAGAAACAGAAGATGAGCTGAGGGTTTCGTTTGTCTTGTAGACCGTAATACGATTGGGCGGTGGTCCTCTGGCTGGCTTGGAAGCTGTGGGCGGGCTGCGCTGTTTCCGCCAGTGTTGATCGCTCACTACTCGTTTCCTCGGAGTACTTTGACTTCTTTTCCTAATTCCACCACTAGCCACACCTGAAACATTACTGTCCGCATTCTTTACCCGTGTCGTGACTCTGCGACGGTCTACCGCTTTGCCAGGTTTGTCCGGTTTATCGGGCCGAGTTTGCGAAGGAAGGTTGTCGGAGCCATCAAGGTCGGCCAGGGCGTCCTTGACTGTGGCAACTCCTCCTCCCTTTTGTTGCCATATTCGGACCTTTTCGCGAACTGAATTCGAGTCGTAGGCGCCTAGGGGCTTTCCGATGTCGAGAGGCTTTAGCTTGGTCGGTGACGACCTGGCGCTATCGCGGCCAGGACCAGTAGTTCCTCGCGGGGTAGCAGGGGAGGGCATTGGAATCTGTCAAGAGTGCAACACAGGCGAGGTTATCAGCAACATTCCCGGAAAACAAGGTTATCAGACAACGCGCTCTACAACCACACACCCGAGGAATGCGGCGATAGACGAGAGGCGGCGGTGTGTGTTTGTTATGAAATGGCGGTAGATGCCGTGACTTACTGGCGGCGATAATCACAACTGGCGACCGGTGCCACACATGTCGCTTACGAGTCCATGGAAGAGAAGAAGACAAGACAAGACGGTGAGGTTGGGTATTATTATTGTTGTCTGCTCGGCGATGGGCAGCCGCGGGCCAAGCAGCTGCCTCACCTGCCTCAGGACCAAGTCTGGCCCCAGGGTCTGGCTGCCCCGGTAACCGTGCACTATTTACTTCATAACTCTGCATAAAACCCGTGATATCATCGCCCGTCTTCGCTAACTTAGTCACTAGTTGAACCATCAACCATATGGCCACTTTATATATATCGCTATGTTTACGACCAACACTCTTCGCGGCGCGAGGCTGTCTAATGGATCCGATCATGTATTATCGTGTTTTCTTCTCTGCTTGCTCGAGACTCCCCATGGCGCGAGAAATCAGGCGCACACTGTTGTAAAGGAGATCTACAGGCAGTGGTAATCAGAAAATGGCCGTTTTCTTGCAGATGGCAGCACTTACAGCCAGGCACAACAATCCAAACAAAGTTCAGCAAGAAATAATACACCCAAAAGTAGAGTGCCTCTGGCCGGCTGTGTGAAACGCCGTTGACGTAGCAGTCAAAGAGGCTAGTAGCGTAGTATAATGCGTCGCCGTATAGATGTGCCATGCACACGATGACTCGGAGAGGGTGCTTCAGTGGGTGATTGGCAGTGGTTAAATAAGCAACAACGAGACACAGGGGGCCCCAGAGTACCTGGCACCGAGACTCGTTAGTGTAGTAACCTGGATGCATATGCCGAGACGAAGCTCACCACCGTAATGGTCTCAATGCTAACAACGAAGGAGTCGGAAGCCAGGTATCGTGAATCGGATTTTGCGTACTCCTTCCAGAGCTGCCCAAGGACATCTTGCGCCGGACCCATACGATCATGATGCGTAACGAAGTAGCCTTCAAAGACGCAGTGAAGAATCCCAGCTACAGTGATGCATTAGTCCGATCCTATTGCTAGCAATCATAAGGCAGGCATTATTCCATACACAGGGCAAACCACAGAATGCTCAGCCGGTCCCCATAGGTCATTGACGGACGCCTGTGTATCGCCAGCCCCAACAGTACGCATAATGAACCGGCCAGCGAAAAGGAGAAAACTGCCACCACGTTCAGGAAGGAGCTTTCATTGGGCTGGTAGTTTCTGATTTCCAGTCCCTTGGGGTAATAAGGATGGGCTTCCATTGGCAAATGATCCATGCGTTTGAACAGGGAAGTTTATACAACCCAAGTCAGAAAACGTACCGAAAGGGTCAAGGGGCCAAGGCCAATAATGTACACTAGTCCCTAACCAGTTCAGCCACATATCAAAGTGATTGACGCTTATCAGAAGTAGTTAAGCTTATTTTCTTTCTATTGGCAATATTCAAAAAAAATTCTAAACTGTTTGGGCGCCTATTATGGCGACACGCGCTAACGAAAACTTAACGGACAGTACGCATACGCTACGTCGGAAGCGACTCAAGCGAGCACACTTTCTCTTTTTCGACGTATTCACAGTTAAAATAGGCGTGAATACCTTCGTCCCATATAACTGTCTCCGTACACTCATCTCCCCATGGTGGCGATGCGATTTCGTCCATTTCTTCTATTATCCTGTGGACTTTAGCATTTGCTACGGCGGTCGTGCGCTGTGGACGGGTTTCCGATTTGATGACGGCCAAATAGCGCTTCAGTTTTTGAACTGTTTGGTAAAGAGAGAGGCCTCTTTCCAATCTCGCGTAATCGAAATTCGTCTGCTCAATTGGTGGCTTGTAGCTCAGAACACGATGCCGCTGATCTATTTTGTTCACCTCAGTTCTGATGGACTCAAGTGAGGAGCTGATTTCTTCCTCTCTTTGCTTCATTTGGCGGTCTCCACCCTTCGCCATGCGTTTCTCTTTGAATGCGTATGATGTTGAGGTTGTCGATAATCTCATCTCTGATATCTACGATCAGTAGACATCGCAGATATACCCAACCAATTACCCAGAGGCCCCTACTTGCTATCCTCCTTGCAGGAAAGAAATTTGCCAATAGGTGATGACGATGACTTTGGTGATGAGGAGCAAGAGTACAAAGTGGGTTTTGTGAATGCCGATGGCTGTCTCGTTCCAACGCGAACTTATTTGGGAAAGAGTTGGGGGAGGAAGTACATTGTACACGATGCCATTCCCTGCTCACTTCAGATTCTAAGCTAAACACCTTAACAGGGCGGGCTTCAAGGAGCCTTTCTTTGCGCAGATGAAATGGGGCTGGGCAAGACCATAACAGGCAGCTAGCTTCCAAGGAGCTAGGCATGAGTGAAAGTAGGAAGCTAGCTGCTAAGGAATGGATATAAGCCTAGCAGAGGGACTGCTGCCTAGCCATTATGATGTAGTGCAGACCCGGTGCCTGCGGTTGCCGATTAGGTTGGCGTGCAGGCCTCCTCATGAGGCCTCCTCCCTAGGATGAGAGCAAACATACATCTTTCTGCTTCACATGATTCCCCAATACTTGTCTCCTAGCACGCGTCATATTTCGTCTCAATACTCTCTTTTAAGCGCATTCAGTTGTTTATCATTTCCAAATCTTCGATCTCTTCTCGTTGGAGCGGCATTTTTGTTTCCTAGAGTCACTGGAAATAATTAGGTAGCCATAGACCTGGGGATGAATACTGCTCTTCTTCTCGATCTTCTACTCTGATCTCAAACTTTTCTTTAAGAGAAGAAAAAAACCACATATCAACCATGACTACTACCACTCCCGGATCAGTCCCGGGGTTCGTTGGCCGCACCACTGGAACAACGCAAGATCTAGAGGGCCTTTCATTCCCGGTGGCCTGCCCACCAGATATCGGTCCCAAAACGCGCTTAGTCGCAGTCTGCGGATGCACCGACGAAGAAGGTCAGGCTTCGCCGGAGAAGGATGGATGGTTTTTAAGCGATTTCTATCTTTTCCACCACCTGTTTTCTCGCACTGAGGGCCCAACACCAGCCCAGATTTGGATGACCTGCGAAGAGCCCGAAGACCTAGTGCATAAATACACAGAATATGCACACAGGGACCCAAAAGAGGAGCGAAAAGTCGTGCTAGATAAGAGCATGTTACCCAAGATCCAACAATCTGGGTCTTTACGCGTTGTCTCACGGCGTGACCTTCTAGAACGCTTTTTAAGTACTTTAAGAGAGCAATCACGCGAAGCTCAGAACAATAACGAGCACCTTTTAGTAATGATTCTTGGCCACGGAGATGATGAAACTTTTGGGGTAGCTCTTGGGGGAAACGAGCCGAATCTCAGGATGGAAGATGTCAAGCGTGCGCTACAGCCCAACACGCCAACTGCTCTTTTCATGACTTCTTGTTTCTCGGGTAGCTGGCTTGTCCAGCCAGATACAAACATATCCAGGCACATGAATGTCAGTGGGATGACAGGCGCGGGACCAGAAGCTCAGAGTACCTCTTGGCCACTTAGTGCCAGTCTAAGACGAGCACGTGGAAGCAGGATTACAAGTGCGATTCTGAGATCCACCATCGCCATTGAAGAGTCTCAAGAAACAGAAGCAACCTCACAGATTCGCCAAGACCCCACCTATTGGGCATTCTCAAACTCCATTTATGATACCTATCGGAGGCTGGACTCTTTCGCCGAAGAAACACAGATTCATTTCTCCGCCCAAGACGATCAGTGGGAGCTCCACTTCAAACGCCGCAGTGGAATGACGTTGTCACAATTGAAGACACGCTGGGAGTCACTACGCTCCATACCGCAAGGGGATTATGAAGCTCCACTTTCAAGTGGATCTGGCACAGGCACGATGCGTTTCGGAACGATAAGAAAGCGCAGCAAATTGAAATATCTCGCTCGATTATATCTCTCTGCAAACCCTGGTTTAGACAACGAGGCCAACAATATCGCACTCCACAGCGGATTAGGGGGCTATCTTAGAGGCAAGAGCAATTCCAGCGACAAGGAAGTTGAGAGAATGTTAGAAGAGGTGATATGCCGACTTGATTCTCTGAAGCAGGCCGAGGACCTTGTCGCAGTAATGGTTCGACATGTTTTCATTTAATGCGCATCGGAAGAAGAGAACCGGTGAGGAGAATAAGCTTTATTCTCTTATCTGGCGCCTAATAATCGATAAACGTATCGTGGATAAGCCCATCCGGGGTCGGTTTTGGTCCAAACCATGCCAATATATCGCTGCTTGCTTTCTAGAATCTGGCCTAAATTGGGAACAGATTCAGGAGAGAGTCAACAAGGCGGTGGATTTTAAAAACGAAGAATCGCGCAATCTCACGGCACTGTTTGGTAGCCAAACAACGCGTGATGCAGAGGTTGCCCGTCACCGCGATATTGTCCTCGATAAATTCAGGGCTCTGAAGGTCAAGGCGTCGGGAGTCTTCCGTGGCTAGTGGCTAGGGCGGAGAAGGCATTATGACATGATGATCCAGTTCAAGTTGCTGGCTTTCGGATTATGCGAACTGGCTACAAACAGATGGATATCTTTTAAGAAGAATGGTATAGAGCGTGGCTACAAAGGATGAATCGTGAGTATTCTCAAGATGTAGGTCTATGTTCGTAACAACTCCATTGGTGTTTCGCTGGTTAGGTACTCAATATACCTAAAATCTGTTAGAACAGAATAATAAAAGATATTTTAGAGCATATTACAAGCAAGCTGTAGCAGGTCAATCGAGTCTGCTACCACTACTACTACCACCACTACTCCGTACAGAAGAGGACGCAACATCCTCGCTTGTATACTTTTTTTGGTTGATCTTGACGGTGTGATGTGCCTTTCGCTATGGATCATGGAGCCAGGATATACTCATAGATGCACCAGAGCCTCACTAGTTTTGCCCGATGTAGTTTGGTATACCTGCGATTCCGCTCTAAAAAACATGAATCTGAATTGTACACATCCGTGGAAGAGTTCCAAGGTTATTGAGAATATTTTCCGACTTCTCTACACTGGATGACAGATAACAAAGGCCAAGCCACCTAGCAACGATATCTCATGCCGCGAGTCCTATTTTGCTGAATCTGGTGAAGGGTGGCAATAAAGATCAGGATACAGTACATACTCTAACATCACCAGATTGATTCTTAACCGCTCGTAGGAATCCGGAGTCATTGATCGGGGTGTTAGTCTAAAGTAGTGACTCAATTCCAAGCTCCTATTGAGATTATCACAGCCACTATCTGTAGAATGCAGCCAAAATAAAGAGTCACCATGGTGCAACGTTGAACGAGGTTGGCCAGCATACGTAGGCAAAGAGAAATTTGGTTAAGGCAAGTGGACCGGAACGGTGGCTCGGCGTCCCCAAGGTGACCCGCAATGCTCCGTCCTCGCAAGACCTCATCCCAAACTGTCAGCCCATGAGCATCTCATGGAGCCCAGGCCATGGCTTTGAAATCCAGTCGCAGGGCGTCTCTGAGGCTTGACTTGTCTCAGACGTCTCCCTTGGACTCCCCCCCGGGCATTGCAGCGCTGTTCTTGATCCGTTTCGACATTAAGAAAGGGTGCGTTGCAACACTCCAGTGCGCTGCTGCCACTACAGGAAACTAAGACTTGAGGATTAGCTATGTGATTTCATGGCAAAAGTCGGTACCGGGTGGTATGTCAGCCTTGATCTGTTTTGTCCCCAGCTTTTTAACATTTACTGTGTCTAGTTGACCTCGAAGGCGCCGTCGAATACAAGTCACTACCGTCAGGGCTACACAATGTTTCCGAAGATCTCATGTACGTGGAGTAGATAAATATATACCGGAAAGATAAGAGTTTGGAACATAATCTAATTGTGTGTCAAAAGCTACTTCGTTCACGATGAGTATGCCGGCATTTGCGCTTTTATCAATCGGCCCGCCGCAGAGACCGAGCGCAATGCTCTGATGTTAGCTGTTGGTGTCCTGGTTCCTTTAAGCCTTGGAAGACTAGGAAAGAATTGGAGGCACGCAGTGGGCCTCAAGAATCTTGCAAAGTAGGTTACGAAGCCTCCCGCTCAGCTCATGACATCCCGCTGATCAGTTCAATCGCCCTCAGGCAATGCGCCGACAATTTAACGGACAGCCAAGCCCTCGCAGAATATTGGGAGAAACATCACGTCCGCGATAATGAAATGAGGCCCGAAGACTCTCCGCCAGATTCACCAGCAGTCCTTCGCGGTAATCCGAAACCCGATAATTCGCCATGGAGAGGTTCCATTGCCGACGCTGCAGGGTTAGAAGCTGCCAGGCCGGTTTTGGCACCTTATCACCCTGCGTTGTCTCTTCCGGAGTTTGTGGAGAGCTTTGGGCCTCTTATATTCCCTCTGTATAGATCCTCTCTATTACGGAGACGGATTTTGGTCGTGACGGAAGCTCCAGTCCAAACAGCTTGTGATTACGGTATGTCTTCCTTATTCGATTCGCATATTCTCTCACCTGCCATCAGGAAGCTGACTATGAATAAGTGTACGGACTCGCACTACTGTCCTCCTTACCTCAAATGCTGTCCCCTTTCTTTGACCAGGAGGGAGCGCCTTCTCTCCGTCCGCGACCACTTTTCAATGTTGGAATTCACGACATTCCATTTCTCTCAAGCAACAGCGATGCGTCTTCGAGCTGGATTGCCTGCACCACAGATAATGTCCTCACATCAAAAACGGACTTATTTGACATCCTAGTCACACTACCGCCAACAGCAACCAACCCCACCCAGAAGCTACACAAGATCTTCCCAAAAATCTCCATCGTCAATAGACTTGATCGGCAAAACACGCAAGGAGGGAAACTTACGCCCTTAAAAGCCACGCAGCGGGATGCTCGTCGCTTCGTCATACTCCGCGATGGACTCCGTCGACTACCCAGTGCCGAATCGCAAAATGTCCAGGAGACAGACAACGACATAGACGCCGCATCCACTTTCTCGTCATCTTCCATCATTGAGCCACTGTCCTGGCCGCGGCTCGCCTACACATCTTTCCTCTGGTGGGCTTCTGCAGGCGAAAAGCGCTCTGGTCTATCCGAGGAGGAAGAAGAACAGGACGAACAAGACACTAGCCTCTTATCAAGCAGTCATCATCATCGTCATCAAGGACAACTCTCCCACCCTGGTCTTCAGTCTCATGAAAGTGATCAACCGCGAGAAATCGCCCTTATAGCCTACTTCCGACGATTAACCACCCTTATATTCACCACCCTCGCTGATGCCATTGCCCGACAGGACGCCGTGGAAGAGACCGATGAGTTCTCTCCCGCGGAAGAATATCACGATGATCCCGACGAACAAATTGAAACACCAACCATTGGCGGTGCAGCTTTCTCAGATGAACGTGACGACGACCCACTACTACGTTCTTCAACCGGCCGAGATGACGACGAAGACGACGCCAACATGGATGATAGGCAGCACGAACCGGCACCGGTATCGATCACATCCTCCGACATCTTGGAGATGGGACTCGACATCTGGAGCGCCACCGATAGAGTCTTCTTGGAAGAATTGCTACAGGTGTGGTGGGGCCGTAAAGCGAATGTGGACGGTACACGGATTAGATGTTGCGGTATACCGATAATATGAATGTTGAAGAAGCTTGGCTTCTTCTTCTCTTTCTCATAAGAGAGAGGTGCAGGTGTGTATCTGCATTATTTCATTGGAGTGATGCTTCCGCAGATTTCCCTGTATATTCAAGACCTAAGTATCTAATGAAAGCAAACAACGAAATTTGTAGAAATCTTGAGTTATCCCTGAAGCATGTACATACAAACAAACATATTCCGTTTCCCTTCAACGCCTTCAAATAAGTACCTAGGTAGGTAACGAATGCAAAGTATCATGTAGATATATGTACAAATAAGTGAAAAGAAGAGGTAAATGAACTCGTAAAAAGCCGTTGGGAGGGACTAGAGAAACCAAAACCAAGGAAAAACCGAGATCGCTGACTAGCAGACAACAAAAAATAAGAATACGCAAGAAGAAAATAATGACGTTGGTCAGAAGTGACCAACTCACATTCTTAACGCCGAAATATGAGGGAAAGAAGAAGAGGGACGAGGGTTCTTTTGAATCCGATTTAAACATATGGTAGATTGAAGAAAACAATTCAAGCGTATAACGTTTTAGCAGTTTTCTCAATATCGTCGCGAGTCTGGGGCAGTATCTCTTCGAGCTCCGACGTCTGGTTCGCTCCTGGTGTCCGAGTGCTTCACACCGGGTATACGTCTTGCTGGTGGTATTTTCAGTCCCCCAGCACGAGCAGTAGCCTCGTTGGCGCTGACGGATCGTTGTGTAGTACTTCGAGTCCGCCCTCTGCGCGCTCTGATCTGAGCTAGTGCTTCTTCTCGAGTCAGGGGAGTTCCTGGTATGATGTCGGATGGTTTCCGTGGGTGTGCCGATTCAAACTGAATTGGCACGGTTTTGGTAATAGAGTTATCTTTCAAAACAGTCATTTGTTCAGTCGGTGTGATGGGTAATATTTGGGATGGCCGGCGCAGTTCTTCGACAGCAGTGGTAATTTGCGTGTTGATTGCAGTAGGTGGGTAGGTTCTTGGTGCCTGCTCGATAGGTATCTCATGTCTTTTTGTGGTCAAGTCGTAAAGGTGATCATCAACAACGTCTGTGTGAGGGTTTAATTGTGCCACTTGCTCTAAAGGAGTTTCATGGGCAAGCTCAATGTTGTCTTCGTTGTCGTCTTCGTTGCCATGGTCAGCCTTTGGAAGGACAAGGGGTTCTTCACTAGGTCGATCGTGCATATGAGCATGCGGTGGTGACACCTGAACAAACGTTCCCGTCACTTCGCAAAAGGCAACTGAGGACTCCCGTTGTGGTCGACCTGTCTTCTGTACCTCATGCGCCTCCTGATACTGTGGTGTAGGCGGCGTCATGGCAGATACAGGACTTACAAGTGGTGACTGCGCATCCGACGTCACTGGTGTCTCCTCCCGAACGGCATGCACTTGCTCCTCCACCTCCGAGATGTGTAAATGTTCATCCTGCATGGCATTTTCCCAATCTTTGTCGTAGACATACTTGTGTCCTTGGCTTTCGGCGATCCTGCATGAGCACCTCTTAAACTGACATTCCATCTTCAGAAAATGAATCATGTCCTCGGCTCTCTCTCTATGTCGCTGTTCTGACTTAATTTCGGCCTTTAAGTCGGCTATGATATCTCCCTGGAACTCCAGCATTTCTGGATCCTGGTTTTCTTTGTTTGAGAACCGTCGTGATAGTCTTATCTTCTTCGTCGGCGTCTCCTCTTGTGTATAGTGATCTGCACCGGAATCTGTGACCTGAAGAAGCTCAAAGGCGTCTGCGCTTCGCTTCGGCCTCCTTGGTGTAGGTGATGTGCATGTTGCCTGATCGGTGTAATCGACAGCTTTCTTATTCTCACCACCTCCCAAGTCGTCCACTTGGGTCTCCAAGACACTCTGTTGATTATTAGCCTCAATGGCTCGAAGCTGGTCCTTCAATGATTGAAGCTCCTCTGACATTCCAGCAAGAGCGTATGCGCGCTCGAATGATTCTTGTTTGGCTTTCTCTTTGGACTCTCGCTCCGTTCGCAGCTCCTCTTTCAAGGCCTTAGCTTCCCCTCTGGATAGCTTAAGTTCCTCTTGTACTTTAACCAACATGGACCCGGCGCGAAATGCTTCTTTGCGTGCTTTGCGGATTTCTTTCTCGAAAAGTGTTCGTTCATGTGCTTGGCGTTCCCTAGTAGTTTGTAATTCTTCCAATAACGACTCGAGTCTCTCGCTAATTCGTCGTTCCCGCGTTTGCGCCTCTGCTAGAAGTGTGTTGGCATTGGAAAGAGCAGACTCGGCTTCTTCACGGCCCAGGATAGCTCTTTGCAGGGCAGCCGAAGCTGATGATGTAGCGCCGGCTTGCTGCTGACTCGGTGCCGGGCTACCCGATCGCGAAAGGCTATTGATGAAAGCAATTTTCGACTGGACGGCGGACTGTTTCTGGCTCAGGTCGGAAGGCATCGATAAAGAATTCGACAATCTCTGCTGATTGATGCGTTCAGGGGATGTGGGAAAAAGCGGCGTCTTGCTAGGGGACAGTTGTTGTTTGAATGATGGCGATTCCATGATGGATGATCAGTAGTTATTGTCGAGCTGCTGGAAGTATGAACAGTACACGCATGACAGAGCAGAGACGGATTATGGTGATGATGACGGTCATCTAGAGGGATGTGACGTTGCGTCTGTAAATATCCTTCTTTCACAAAAGAAGTTGTGTGGAGTCCAACTTTGCGGTGTTTATTCACTAGCGCGCTTGCCCTCCGTTGCTTGGGGTAACCATCCCCCACCCGCCAGGATAGGCTTAGTGGGTAGCTCTCGTCACGTGACCCGTATCGCGCGACGACACAAATGATGTCGATGTCTTCAATATGCAAATCTCCTTGCAGCCTCTTGTCTCATCCTTATGCGGTGACTGTGCATCAACAATGCACGAGATTATCACCTTACAGCTAGGTCAGCGCAGCAACTATGTTGCAACTCACTTCTGGAATCTGCAGGTCGTCCAATAATTTGTTTCTCCGCGGGAAAATGAAAATATATAATCTGACGTTGCTTGTAGGAGTCGTATTTCACATACGGCGAAAACGAAGAACCACTAGTAGACCATGATGTGCATTTCCGACCGGGACTTGGAGCAGATGGATCAGAAACTTTCACGCCAAGAACAATAATATATGATCTAAAGGGAGGGTTTGGCACCCTCCGTAAATACAATGCGCTCTATGAAGTAGAAGAACCATCTGGTCTTCCTCGGGGGCTATGGTAAGTCCCTACTGTTCATGTATTCGTAATGCATTTTCAAGCGTTTGGAAACTCAGTGCTCCGTTAGGGAAGGCAATGAGGTTGTGCAGCGACAACCAAACGTTCCTCAGAATGAATATCAGAAGAGCTTAGAGGCAGGCTTTCCGGCGCCACGCTTAAGCTCTGCGTCTGTACGATATTGGTCCGACTTTAACCGAGTTTATTATCATCCTCGGTCTATAGTTCAGCTGAACGAATATGAACTCAACTCCTCGTTGATGCCCTTTGAGGAATGGGGCATGGGAGAAGACTTGTTTCGGGATTTGGATAAAGAGCATGATCTATTGGACCGAGATCTTCGTCCTTTTGCCGAGGAGTGTGACCATCTCCGTGCCCTCCAACTTTTCACAAGCTCAGATGATGCCTGGGGAGGATTTGCCTCTAGATACGTCGATAGGATCAGAGATGAGTATGGTAAGACTGCCATATGGGTTTGGGCATTGGAAGATGGCGCAAGGTTGCCAAGGGTAAGATCGTCCAATGTGTTCTATGCTAATATGGATTTTATTGTTGATGTTTTTAATACAGCATAAGAAAATTCCCAAAATGATCAATTCCGCCAGGACCTTGAGCTCCATATCGCCTTTATCCACATTATATTGCCCTATTATTGAACCTCCACATAATCTTCCAAGTTATCTCAACATTGATCTACAGTCACAATGGTATACGTCTGCTTTGATCGCGTCTGCTGTTGAAACCGTCACAATTCCATCTCGTCTCCGGACCTATCGTGATTTTGAGGCCTCGTTAATGGGCCATCGTGGAGGATCACAGACTATCTTTGAGCTACAATCCTCCGTTATCCCTCTTGACACTGTTGAAAATAGGTCACCATGGGCGACAAGTGAGCATTCAACGCACGAGTCGGCAGATGAAGCCAAGCTGAATTTTGATCTCAACTTTACCGTACCCCAGCCACTGGCGGATGACACGACCGTGTTCACCCAAGTCCAAGTCTTCCGAGGCGAAGAACAGGGGCCTAATGCTACAAATACCGACTCCTTACATGTGGAAGATATTGGATTATCGCGAAAATTACGTCTTTACGCATCGAAACCGGCTGTTGAAAGGTATGCTTATTTGCCTAGCCTCTATCAATTACGACGGTAGATCTGACCATGCCTTTAGATTCTCTACAAACCTACGCTTCCCTCTTCCGGACAGTTACCCCCGCGATATATTCAGAGGCTACGATACACAGGCCGGAGTAGAGCTCATGGCCGCTTTGTCTAGTACATCGAGAATCGCAGATAAACTGAAGGACCTGCAGGCTATTGCAAACAGAGGAGTGGGAGTGGATGAGCGAGAGGATTTGACAAATTCCATCGGAGAAATCCGGGAATTATATGAGAAAGACTGGGGAAGCGACTCGGACTCTGGCGACGATTGAAGGATTATACTCGTTGATGTTATATGTAGATTTAAGGTTATGGTAGGGGGCGCCGATGCAAACATGCCCGATTAGGACTGTGGGGAGCCGCGCTTATTGTAGCCGCCGGCGATCGTGATGCCAAAGTGTCCTCAGCGATAAAATAAAGGCCAGCTTGGCTTACTCTGCACACCTGACACAAAAAACCTTCTTCTTTCCTTGACTCGAGATTTACCGGTCGAAATTCATGAATATATAATCCGCCATATCGCTCATTCCTTTTTGCATGTTTTAATATACAAGCCACGAATCCGAACTGCGGCAAACGAAGAGCTCACTGCTGTGGTCGCATAAACTAGACAGCCCACAACGGGCCAGTCTTTTTGGCAGGTCATCGATCGTTCTTCCGGTCGGAATTTGAACGTCATTTAAAGTACGCAAAATATCCATTCACATCATGAGTACCGGCCGTCGAAGGAGGAACATGCCTATCCTGGCATGCTCTCCCTTTCTCACTTTTGTTCTCTTGCCATTCCTTCTATTCCTACTTTGTCTGCCTGGACCTGCCTCGGCTGCCGGTTCAGCCGTTCTAGGAATTGACCTTGGAACGGAGTACCTCAAAGCTGCCCTGGTAAAACCCGGTATACCTCTTGAGATTGTCCTTACCAAAGACTCGAAACGCAAGGAATATGCGGCGGTTGCTTTTAAACCTTCGCGCGACGGAAATGCAGCTTTTCCGGAACGGTTTTACGGTAGCGACGCCCTCGCCCTCGCCGCTCGCTTTCCCGATGATGTTTACTCGAATCTGAAGACGCTTCTCGGTCTTCCCTTTCAGGAAGATAGCGATGCCGTCAAGCTATACGGAGGAAGATACCCTGCCTTAAACCTCGAAGGTGCACAAGGAGACAGGGATAGTGTGGCACTGCGGAGTCAGAAATTAGATGGAGCCGAGGGAAAAGACGCCTTTCTGGTTGAAGAAATTCTTTCGATGCAGCTTAAACAAATCAAAGCAAATGCCGAAGCCTTAGCTGGAAAAGGCACTACTATCCGTGATGCGGTCATCACATACCCAGCTTACTATACCGCCGAAGAGAAGCGGAGCGTCGAACTGGCCGCAAAGTTGGCTGGATTGAACGTGGAGACATTAATTAGTGATGGTCTTGCCGTCGGGTTGAATTATGCGACTAGCCGAACCTTTCCAAGCGTAACTAATGGTCAACAACCAGAGTACCATATCGTTTATGATATGGGCGCAGGATCCACAACGGCCACCGTTTTGCGTTTCCAAAGTCGGGAGGTCAAGGACGTTGGCCGTTTCAACAAGACGGTACAAGAGGTTCATGTCTTGGGCACTGGTTGGGATAAAACACTTGGTGGGGACGCCTTGAACGACCTTATCGTTGATGACATGATCACCAAGTTCGTCGAAAGCAAGAAGCTCAAGGAGGGAACCACAGCTTCGGATATTAGGGCTCATGGCAAGACAATGGCCAAACTCTGGAAAGAATCCGAACGCGTCCGACAGATTTTGAGTGCCAATACTGAGACTGGTTCCACATTCGAAGGTTTATACGAGGAGGATGTCGTCTTCAAGTACAAAATTACACGATCACAGTTCGAGAGCCTGGCCAAAGACCATGCTGCTAGGGTAGGACAACCTATCGAAGATGCTCTGGCAGCGGCAGAGCTAAAACTGAGTGACATCGAATCTGTCATTCTTCACGGAGGTGCCATCAGAACACCATTTGTTCAGAAGCAATTGGAAAAGCAATCTGGAGGTTCAAGCAAACTTAGAACAAGCGTGAATGCTGACGAGGCTGCCGTTTTTGGTGCAGCCTTCAAGGGAGCCTCATTGAGTCCTAGTTTCAGAGTGAAGGACATTCGTGCCGTGGACTCCGCTAACTACGCTGTGAAGATCAAGTGGGTATCAGACGGAAAGGAAAGAGAACAGAAGCTGTTTATCCCGACATCTCAAATTGGCGTCGAAAAGCAGGTGACTGTGAAAAACTTGGAGGACTTTGAGTTCAACTTTTATCAACAAACCACTTCCGGCGAAGATCTAATCGATGTCCCTGTCCTGAGCGTGGCTACACAAAATCTAACCGCGTCTGCCGGTAAATTGACTGACAGCTTTGCCTGTGCGCCTGTCAATATCACTACAAAGTTCAATGTCCGTCTCAACCCTACTGATGGGTTGCCAGAGGTTATCGGCGGCTCTGTGAGCTGTGAAGTTGAATCAAAGAATCCCCTTGGTCATGTTGTGGACGAAGTTAAGCGCGTATTTGGCCTAGGGAAGAAAGATGACCAGAAGCCATTAAAGGAGGATACCGACGAGTCAACCGAGTCTGTGACGCCCGATGATGAGCCCACGGCATCGTCTGAGACGGCCTCGTCTTCAACAGAAACATCAACTACTGCCTCGTCAAAGGAGACCCAAAAGGCAGAGCCAACATCTGGAATCAAAAGCATCCCAATCGCCCTGAAATCTTCCACTCTAGGACGCCCGCCATTGTCAGCAACGGAACTTGAGCGGATCAAGGGCCGCCTTGCTGCGTTTGACGCATCTGACCGAGAACGCATGTTAAGAGAAGAAGCCCTGAATGAATTGGAAGCATTCACATACAGAGGCCGGGATTTGGCTGATGATGAAGAATTCCTCAAAGCGCTCAAGGAAGGCCAGCTTGCTGTTCTAAATGAGCGCCTTGAACTAGTAAGCGAATGGCTCTATGGCGATGGCGTGGATGCAAGCACAAAGGATTTCAAGGAGAAGCTAGCTTCCCTGACCGAGATAGTCAACCCGGCACTGAGAAGAAAGAAGGAAAACTCAGAGCGTGACGTGAAGGTAAAGCTTTTACAAGAGATGCTCAACGGGGCCAAATCGATTCAGAGCTTGGTAGAAACGCAAATGAAGAACGATGAAGCATCATTTTCTTCTTTGCAAGCCGCCGAAACTGCGTCCTCCACCTCTGAATCTATTTCAAGTGCTGAGACTTCCACCACTACCACTGCCGAGTCAGCTTCTGCGTCTGACGATGTTGATCTTGATGACGACCCTTACTCGTCGTCCTCAACCTCATCCTCGACTAAGTCATCGGTAACCGCAATACCCACCGCACCAACCTATACCATCTACTCACCACAAGATTCGGCTGCCCTACAACGCGTTCTTGAGTCAGTAACCACGTGGTTTGACGCACAGCTCGAGATCCAACAAACCCTCACTGAGTCGGATGATCCGGCTCTAACCGTGGCAGAAATTGACTCGCGCCTCCAGGACTTGGAGCGTGTACTGCAACGCATTTATAGTAAAATGGGCGCCAAACAACCTGGCGGTGGCTCTTCTTCGTCATCTTCCAAGAAGAGCGAAGGAAAGAAGGACAGCAGCAAAACGAAGTCCAAGGCAGGCAAAACAGCAAAACCGTCTGCAAAGGATGAATTGTAATGCTATTATTATATCTTTCAACTTCTTTTATTTGTTTCTGTTTGTTTCATTTCATTTCTTGCGTTGTGTATCATCATTTGTAAATGATAAATCTTTAAAAGGCGCTTTGCTTATTGTTTATGGTAGACCTGATATGATGAATGATATAACTCTGATCTATTTTTATTTGGATCAAGATTTAATTACATTTATTGAAAGAGCGCTGCAGTTAATAAATATATATGCCAAAACAAAGAACGTCCCATGTAACACTGACCAGCAGTGCCTCTTGAATGAGACAGCCAGGAGGACAAATAAAACCAATACATGATGAAACACCCAAACCAAAAAATGTCATGCCAAAATGACAAGTAATATCCACAAAGAAGAGTAAAAGAATTGATAATTGTCGCACAAATATCGTCATTAAAAAGGAGGGAAAGGTAGTGTGTCTCACAATTGAGGAATCTCCAGTCAAGCCATGTAGAGGATCACATATAATCAGCATCAACCTCCTCCCTGCGGCGCAGGAAAGACGCCTCGCCAAAGTCATCAAGATCCATCATATCACCAGACGACATTTCCCCTCCGCCGGCAAAAGCAAGTGGATCTTCATTTTCTTGTTCTGCATAAGCTTTCCACGTACTGCCGCTGGTTGATGGTGCTGCTGCTGCTATTCGTCGTCTGTGCTGACTCAGTTTCGGCGATAGTATGGTTCGTTGTGGGATAGCATGGCAGGGGGATGTTGATGGTATAGGTGCGTAAACTGAAGAATGGAATCCGGTAACAGTCATGTCTTGCCAGATATCTCCAGGTACAAAATTGCCTCGGATAGGATGATGTGCTGCAGTTGAAGAGTCGTAATATTCTTCGGCATCCGAGTCGTCGTAGACACGTTTATTGCTGTTGGAATTCGTATATAATAGTGAGGCAGATGAGGAGGAGGAGGCATTTGACCCCTGGCTGCTGGATGGTATAGATGTGGTCTCCAGATCATCGGCATTCATATTCATATCCCGATATTGCTCGTCGGGCCGAGGAAAAGTCTGAACGGCATAATTGCCCACCTTGTGCATTCCACAAAACGGCTCCAATTCAGCATATACTGTTGTAGCCGGTTGTTGCGAGGTGACTAAGTCCACGCCGACCTCGCGCTTGGAAGAGGAGGACGTTGAGGCCGGTATCGTGTAGGCTGTCAACTTCTTTTGTTCCGTTTTATAACCCTCCGGCACCGATTTCCGAACGCGGGCTCCTACACCAAGCAGCGATGAGAGGATGTTGGCAGGGAGCACAGGAGTCGGTGTGTTGGTCGGCGCTGCATAGCTGTGATGCGACAAGGCGCTGTTTCCCTCCGTCTCCGGGGTGCACGGCACGAAGTAACTAGTGATGGGTGGTTGGAAGCGGCGCTTCTTGGATGACGACGAGTTCTGCAAGGCAGAGGCCATGGTGCATGTGCGTGTGTTGTAGTCGCTGTATGTACGCTGAGGATTCGCATTCCTGAGGCAGAAAGGTGGGAAAGTTCAGTTCTGCCCGCTGCCCAAATTAATCGACTGGAGGTGGCTGGGGGACGCGCCTGCAGCGACGCGTCTCAATTAAACCCTTTGTGGAGGTCACGTGCCGATATCGCCGTTTTGCATGCCCACCTTCCTAATCGGGAAGGTTTTGTGGAATTCACCGAGTCAATTAGACAACGATCCTAAAGTGCATTTGAGCTATACTAGTATCTACAGGCTTATGGATATACAGTCACCCCATAATCACTTGTTTCCACGCCGTCCGCCTCTCTTCTGTCGATCATGGTGAGCCTTCAGCACTGCTCTCGTCTCTACCAGACTACGCTTGTTCTTGCTTCTGGCCTTGCCTAATGTCATCAAGAAATTCTTCTTGCGGGCCTTCTCCTTGTTGGTCGTGCTCTTTCCATCTGCTACTTTCCTCTCCTTCTTGCGTGCTGTTTTACTCTTGAATTCATCACGATCAGTCTTGGACTCCTTGGCATGGGCAATCTTCTCCTCGCGCGTAGCTTTTCCTTTGGAAAGCAGAGCCAGACCTTCAATCTCCGCTGCAGTGAGAGGCTCATCGATATGTCTGTTGGTGGTGCTCTGCGCCTTTTGTACACGTTTGGATCGCGATGTGAGTAGAGAGTTCACCGCAGACTCAGAGCGAAGCTCTGCCAACTTGGCCAAATCGGCAGGCGTCAAAATCCGGCTGGTAGCGAGCTTGTTCCATTCCTTGTCTGCATCATTTTCTGCTGCTGTCTTCTTCTCTGCCTTGTCCGCAGTGTCTTCCTGTTTCGTTTTCTTGGATGGCGGTTTGTCATCGTCGGAGTCACTCAATTCAATCTCGGCGTCACTCTCGACATTAATCCATCCCTCTGAGTCATCGCTATCGTCGTCCTCAACATCCCAGTTAGCCCAGCCTGCTTCTTCATCTGCTTCCAAGTCCTCCTCGTCTTCGCCGTCAGAGGGTAGACCTTGTTCGGCTCTTCTCTTTTTTCGCTCTTCCTCCTTCCATTTCGCCAATAACTCAAGACCTTCTATCTCTCCCGCTGCTTCTTCACCGTAACGAATCTCTTTCTTCTCGCCGGCGCTCAGTGCCATAGACGCTTCCTTGCCTCGGTCACGTCTCTTCAGCATGTCGGCGCCTACGTCGCGGTAGAGACCGAGTAGACCCTTTGCGGCCATCATAACACCTTTATCCTTACTCTTTTTGTACATGACCAAATCTTGCAACAATGTTTCGTTCATAGCTAGTGGCTGTCTGACGCAAATCTCGCGGATAGCATTCAGGCCTGCTGAAGCCACCTCCGCGGCCGAAGCCTCGGACACAAATTCGTTTGCAATCTTTTGGATCAAAGGTTCAAGTACATCGGGCGGAACAAGATTGTGTGTTGCCTGAGCAAGTGACGCCAGGAATGATGTGACTGAGGGCTGTCGAGGAGTGAGATACTTTTGAAAGTAAGAGTAAAAATGAACGAGTGTAAGTTTGTGTAGGCCGATCAAGCGCGAGACCAGTTGCAAGACAAGAAGTTTCTGCTCCAGATTCAACTTGGATTTGGTATTCTGCAAATGCTTGGAGAACAGCTCTTCGGAAAAGCCTTGAGAATCGTGTAAAAGATGTAGTGCAGAGAAGTTGAGTGCATGGGGCTGCTTCTTCTTTCGTTCCTTTTTCTTCACCGTCGCGATAGCTTTCTCGACTTGGCGAGCTTTCTTCTTCGTCTTTTTGTTGATGCCCACTTGGTGTTTTAGCTTAGCGACATCAACCCCGTCATCGTCACTGCTGTCATCTTCCATCTCCTCTCTTTCTTTGTCTCCACCAAGGAAGAATCGAACGCCGCCAACGATGACCTTTTCATTTTCAGCCAAGCATGCCTCCTTCATGATCTCAACCGTCTTTGCGTCGGTCCATATCTGCCTTTTCCATAGCTCTCTAGTGATCTTGATGGCCCACAAAGCTTTCGAAGACGTGCGATCCGACGTCACTAGATTGAACAAGACTGCCTGCATGGCTTTATTGAGTCTATGGTTCGTTGATTTAGAATTCGATGCTCGCAGGTCAGAAAGAATCTTCTGAAACAACAACTGGCGCAGTGTCTTGCTAGGAGTCGAAACTAGGATTGGGAACAAAGTATGGAGAAGCCTGCAATGCACATGTTTCCGGTCAGATATATAAACACTTAAACAAAAGATCAACTATACATACGTAACTGAGTCAATGATATCCTTCTTCCTCAGGAGCACCAGACTTCCGACGATCTTCTCACGAAGTTCTGGCTCGAGGTCCACATGATGTTGAATGAGCATATCGATGAGTTGCTGTGGAAAGTCTTTGGTTATGTCGGGATAGCAGTCGGCAACATGCGAGATAAAATCTATCAAGTCACGTAAAGAAATTATTCCCGCCTCCGTTGAGGTAGGCGTTGCCATGAAAATTTCCCGGTGATTCTCATATTGGTAGTATTGAGCGCGAAAATCTTCGACGTACGACCTGGAGATGAATATGATCAGTATTGTCTTTCCCTTATATTTCCTAATTCTTCCTGTCAGTTGATATGCATGGCGTATTTCCGTACTTTGAATCCCGTCGAATTTTCTGCTGAAGGTTGGGCCTATCGTAAAAAACTCCGTCAGTCCGCGCCCCATTGAGTAGTTTCGTCAACACTTACAGATCCGCCTCAACCTTCTCTAACGCAGCCAATTTCCGTTTGACCATTTTGACAACTGTAGGCAAAAAGAGTCGTCACCAATACCCGTCCGACGAGGGGAATAAACGACGGTATGCCTGTATATGTAGGTTGTGTTCTGGCGGAGAGATTTTTTTTGCCGTATCGATAAGTGACACCGGCCAGCCAGAGAGAAAATTAGGCTGGGCGGTGAAGGCACGATGTTTTATCTCTTCATTTAGTCCTTACTGACATTTATGCATGATTGGGGGCATTTTCTACTTTTCAGTCTTTTGTACACATCAATTAAATGATCTTTTACCTGACATTATTTTTAATTTTTTGCTATTTTCGTCGAAGAATGATTTTGAGACAAAAGGATCAAGTTTTTCGTAAGAACATCGACTACATCAACAGAGAGCTAACCATGTTACTTTTATGGGTTTTGCTTCCTCTTTCACAACTGTTCCGCAGATACAGTCTATATGGATGTATGCGAGCCGACCAAACCCTAATAGATGACACCCCGTCCATACCCTGAACGCGTAAACAAACAGACATAAAGAAATCGTTTACCGATTGCTCTTGGCAACACGCTCGAGTTCGTCCTTCTTCTTGATGGCGTACGAGTTGGAGCTACCCTTGGCAGCGTTGATAAGCTCTTCACTGTATGGGGGGTTAGTTTCTGTAATGGCAATGTAAACACAGAGGTATATAAAGGGGTACTAACGCCAAAACTTCGGCAATAGACTTGACGTTGCGGAAAGCGGCCTCGCGAGCACCAATGGTCAGAAGGGCGATGGCCTGATTGACACGGCGGAGAGGAGACACATCGACAGCCTGTCGGCGGACGGTACCAGCAGAACCGATACGGGTGGAATCTTCACGGGGACCGCAGTTGACGATAGCATCAACGGCAACCTGGAGAGGGTTCTGGTCGGTCATGATGTGAATCTGAAAGCCATTATTAGAATCATATTTGCGCGGGATGGTAAATATGACGCTGAGTATAGATGCGCAAGGGGTGTATGTATTGAAGACGTACAATCTCGAAAGTGTGGGCAACGATGCGGACAGCCTTGATCTTCTTTCCGTTGTTGCGGCCGTTCATCATGATCGAGTTGGTGAGTCTGCGCAGCCAGTGTTAATCCAACGATCCGCTTCGCAACCGTCGCAGGGAAACCAGGTATTCTCTTATTACCTCTCAATGATGGGGCATTGTGCCTTGCGGAAACGCTTAGCAGCGTATTTACCAGCGGAGTGAGGCAGGTAAACTGGCGAGCGGATCTGAATGTAATCGCTGTTGTCGAAAGTCCTCGAGTCAGCTTAGTTCCCTCGTCAATAGTTTTTTATTTGAGCGTCTTGTTCTTCTGCTTCCCCCCCCATCTTCTGTGTCGCCCAAGCCATGGCCGAATTGAATATGCGATAGGTTTTTCACGTACGTCAAAGAGATATCCCTAATTTCAACATCGTCCTATGCCATTCGTTAGCGCCGTGTCCCATGGCAGAAATTCTTTTCATTGTCGAGATACTCACGTAACTCCATTTTCCGAACAAACGGACGGAATCGGTTGGGATATCCTTGGGAATGACTGAGTAGAGCCCAGCAGGGCTGTCGACCTCGACTTCACCGTTGTCGGACATGATGGACGCTGTTGTCGAGAATGTAGAATGAGCGTCGAGCGTTGCTGTCGGTCGATGAAAGTTCGCTGGAGCGGAAGGAAATTGGAGGTGTGTCTTCGCTTAGCGAAAACCCCAGTGCGGTGGGGCGCCATGGACTAATAGAACTCACTGCGTCAGGTGACTCCGCCATCACCAATCTAACGGTAAAGGGGCTAGCGCACTCCCATACTTTGTCTTCGGACTTTTGAAGACTTTTGTGACTCGAGACTGTCTCAGAAACCGAACCTAGGTACATAGATATCGAACGTATACAATCTTTACCGCTTTATAATTCCATAGTATTGATCCCCGCAGAAGGCGCCTGCGCATGCCCAGCCGTCCGTCTTATGGTCAGCTGTAGGCACGAGACCCGAAAGGAGATCACCACCCCGTAAGAAAATTCGACTTGGAAAAAGGACACGCAGAAACAATCCTGTCCATCCGGCCAACCCGTCACTTGGCCCCTGGATTATGATCTGACAGCGGCGGCACTGGGCGTAACACGGCATAGCGCAGGTGCTGCGGCGCGACTCTCATAGGGCAGCGGAGTGAGACCTTCTTTTGGAGCCACTACTGCCGTCGGGGTAGTCTTCAAACCCAACTCTCGCAACACCGAAGCCTTCCTGTACTTACACCAGAAGCCTTTTGATGGTGTAAACCCCCTGTGGAGGCAGGCCTTGCTTCTATGCGCTCTCAGATGACCCTTGTTATTTGCCTTTGAAACCGCGGCCGCCGCTGAGAATGGCGGACGATCATCCAGACCTGCAACATGCGTTGCAAGACCTTGACCAGGAACTCCAGGTGCGCTGCCCGTTTCAACCCTTCCCAGGAACGTCTCTGATTTATTCTATCAATTCTAGGAAGGTTATATCACCGAAAAAGGGTAAGATATATTCACCCGGGCCTCTATCAACACTCCGACGCGCGCGGGGTAGCGCCGCAGATTACGACGATTGAACCTCTAGCTCACAGCATTCTAGATACCAGAAGCGACGCACTCTTTTGTTTTCACAGTTCGGTGCAGCGGGTGGCAATGGCTTCCAGGCGCCAATTGTCAATGTCCAAGGCCCAGGACCTCAGGCCGATAACTCCTCGGGCAGGTACCCAAGTGTAGGGAGTGATAGCTCGTCGAGTATTGCTAGACAGGTGAGTTCTGTCGCGTGCATTATTGGCGACGACGGCCCGACTAATCCTTGCTCAATATTTCCCAGAGAACGCCTTCCCTTATGATACCCGACCGTGTAGCGGCTAGAGCGTCTGTCGATTCTCTTTTCCTCCCAAAACAGACCCCGTACAACCCAACAGGTATCGGCCACGAAGATGCAAGAACCGAGACCTTGTTGAGCCAAAGTTATGCATTCAACCCCAATGATCAGTTTGCTCAACCAGACCAGCCACAGGCACCTTACGATGCCGGCGCGTACGATACCGAAGGAGGTATGACTCGTCAGTCGACACTGCTTGATTCGCAAGCATATTTTCAGGATTTCGCCGGTCACCAAAACGAGGACTATAGGAACAGCTATGGAGGCGGGTTTCATCGCTACTCACAGTCTGATGCATTTTCGCCAACAGCAAACATGGCTCCTCCGCTGATGCCAACTGCAGAGATGCCCGGGAACATGCTCGGTCACCTCCAACCACTTGAGCCACGAGACATACCTTTCTCTGTCCAGGACCCGCATGATCCCAATACAATGATGTCTAAGTTTGAGAATCTGCCTGCAGTCCTGAGACATCGCGCCAAGACTCAGTCCAAACAACCTGCTTATTGGGTCTTGGACCAGAAGGGAAAAGAGATTGCCTCCATTACTTGGGACAAACTAGCTAGTAGGGCGGAGAAAGTGGCTCAAATAATACGCGACAAGAGCAGTCTATATCGCGGCGACCGTGTAGCACTGATCTACCGCGACACCGAGCTAATCGAATTTGCTGTCGCTTTAATGGGCTGCTTTATCGCCGGCGTTGTGGCTGTCCCCATCAACAACATTGACGACTACGCAAGTCTGAATGTCATTCTTACGTCCACGCAAGCCCACCTTGCCTTGACCACAGAAAACAATCTGAAAAATTTCCAAAGAGACATCACAACCCAGAAGCTGCAATGGCCCAGGGGCGTCGAATGGTGGAAGACCAATGAGTTTGGGAGCTATCATCCAAAAAAGAAGGATGAAGTCCCGCCTCTGGTTGTCCCCGACCTCGCTTACATTGAGTTTTCTCGCGCGCCTACCGGAGACCTGCGCGGAGTAGTTATGAGCCATCGGACAATCATGCACCAGATGGCCTGCCTCAGCGCTATCGTGGCCACTATGCCAGGCTCTAAATCTGGGGGACAGCAACAACCCAGCATTCTAGGTAGCGGCAGCCGAGGGGAAACATTATTCAGTTATATCGATCCAAGGCAAAGCATTGGTATGATCTTGGGCGTCTTATTGTGTGTGTATGGTGGACACACAACGGTGTGGCTGGAATCTCAGGCAGTGGATACACCCGGCCTTTATGCGCACCTCATTACAAAATATAGGGCTACTGTGTTGGCCGCCGATTATCCTGGACTGAAACGGGTGGCATACAATTATCAGCAAGACCCAATGACCACCAGACATTTTAAGAAGAATTCCGAGCCTAACTTTTCCAGTGTGAAATTATGTTTGATCGATACGCTCACAGTTGATTCCGAATTTCACGAGATTTTGGCGGATAGATGGCTTAAGCCTATGCGAAATCCACGTGCGCGAGAGATAGTCGCTCCGATGCTCTGTCTTCCAGAGCACGGAGGCATGGTAATCAGTGTTCGGGATTGGCTAGGAGGCGAGGAGCGCATGGGATGTCCTCTGACACATCCCTTGGAACCTGAAGAGCCCGAGCAAGCCGAAGCGGATAAGAAGAAGACGGACAACAACGATGGGTTTGGTAGCAGTCTGATTGGAGGAACTCCAGTCACCGCCCCGAAGAAGACTGTCAAGACTGACTTGGCGGAAGTCCTGCTTGATAAGGAGGCGTTGAAATCAAACGAAGTAGTGGTACTAGCCATGGGAGAAGAGGCGAGAAAGCTTGCTGAAACACGCCAAAACTGTGTCCGTGTTGGTGCATTTGGATATCCCTTACCAGATGCTACCCTTGCTGTCGTTGATCCTGAAACCAATCTGCTTTGTACGCCAAATGTCATTGGAGAGATCTGGGTCGACTCGCCGTCTTTGTCCGGGGGATTTTGGGCATTGCCGAAACACACAGAAACTATTTTCCATGCCCGACCTTATAAGTTCGAACTCGGAAACCCTACACCCATCTTGGTAGAACCGGAGTTTCTCCGGACTGGTCTTCTGGGTTGTGTCATCGAAGGAAAGATCTTCGTCCTAGGTCTCTATGAAGATCGACTGAGGCAGAAGGTCGAATGGGTGGAGCATGGGCAAGAAATTGCCGAACATCGTTACTTCTTCGTACAACACCTTATCATCAGCATCATGAGAAATGTGCCCAAAGTGAACGACTGCTCGGCGTTTGATGTCTTTGTGAACGAAGAACACTTGCCTATTGTTGTCCTGGAGTCATACACTGCTTCGACCGCCCCGACAACTTCCGGCGGCCCTCCCCGTCAATTAGACACAGCGCTGCTTGAATCATTAGCAGAACGCTGCATGGAAGTTCTATATCATGAACACCATCTTCGCGTCTACTGTGTAATGATCACTGCTCCAAACACTCTGCCACGCGTCACAAAAAACGGCAGGCGGGAGATTGGCAATATGCTATGTCGGAAAGAATTTGATAACGGAACTTTGCCATGCGTACATGTCAAGTTTGGAGCTGAACGTGCTGTGATGAACTTGCCGCTTGGTGTCGACCCGGTGGGAGGTATGTGGTCGCCACTCTCTTCGGATTCCAGGCAAGACATTCTGGCCATGGAGGAGAAACAATACTCGGGTGTGGACTATCGCGATATTGTCATGGACGATAGGACATCTACGCCACTGAATAATTTCACCAATATGGTTGATCTAGTTCAATGGCGTGTAACACGCCAGGCAGAGGAACTTTGTTACTGCTCGATTGATGGTCGTGGCAAAGAAAGCAAAGGAATAACTTGGAAAAAGTTTGATACAAAAGTGGCTGCTGTGGCTTCATACCTCAAGAACAAAGTCAAAGTCAAGCCAGGCGACCATATGGTGCTGATGTATACGCATTCGGAAGAATATGTCTTCGCCGTCCATGCATGTCTCTGTCTCGGCGTAATCGCTATTCCTATGGCTCCGATAGATCAAAATCGGCTGCCAGAAGATGCTCCGGCTTTCCTTCACGTCATTTCAGACTTTAAAGTGAAAGCAATTCTTGTGAACAATGATGTTGACCACGTCATGAAACAGAAGCTCGTATCCCAGCACATCAAACAGTCTGCACAAGTCCTGCGTATCGGTGTTCCCGCAGTCTACAACACTACCAAACCTCCAAAGCAGTCTCATGGCTGCCGCGATCTCGGATTTACTATGAACAAAGCATGGCTACAGCCAAATCATGCTGCCGTTGTCTGGACCCATTGGACAGCCGATCAGAGGCGCATCTCAGTACAACTGAATCATGATACTTTGATGGCAATGTGTAAAGTACAGAAAGAGACATGTCAGATGACAAGTGCAAGGCCGGTCTTGGGCAGCGTACGAAGTACTGTCGGGTTGGGTTTTCTGCATACCTGCTTGCTTGGTTGTTATGTTGGTATGTTACTACAGCTTCTATTGAAGTAGGAGTACTGGAACTAATTCTATCATAGGAGCACCAACGTATCTTGTATCACCTGTCGATTTTGCACAGAACCCGGCGTCGCTCTTCGTCGCATTGGCACGGTACAAGATCAAAGATACGTATGCAACAGGCCAGATGTTGGAGTATGCCATGACTTCCATGGCTGGAAAGGGATTCCAGCTTCAAGAGTTAAAGAACTTGATGATTGCCACAGATGGTAGACCAAAGGTCGATATGTGTAAGTTTGCGCTGCTCCATGCATGACTTCTCGCGCCTGCTGATTTTTTCCCATCAGACCAGAAAGTTCGACTACACTTTGCTGCTACATCTCTTGACCGGACAGCGATCAACACCATCTATTCTCACGTCCTCAATCCCATGGTTGCTTCTAGATCATATATGTGTATCGAGCCTATTGAGCTATGGCTTGATCTGCGTGCCCTTCGGCGAGGCCTTATTTACCCGGTTGACCCGGATGTCGACCCAACTGCCCTTCGCGTGCAAGACTCTGGCATGGTTCCAGTCAACACACAACTTGCAATTGTCAATCCAGAAACATGTACCCTCTGCCGTGTCGGCGAGTATGGAGAGATTTGGATCCAGTCCGACGCCTGCGCGAAATCATTCTACGGAAGCAAACAAGACTTCGATCTTGAACGATTCAACGGCAGGGTTTTTGACGGTGACACATCAGTTCAGTATGTTCGCACGGGCGATCTTGGATTCCTTCATACAGTGACTCGGCCAATTGGCCCAGGCGGTCAACCCGTTGAGATGCAAGTCCTATTTGTTCTTGGTGGCATAGGGGAGACGTTTGAAATCAATGGGTTGAATCATTTCCCCATTGATATTGAGTCCTCTGTAGAAAGGTGTCATCGGAGCATCGTTCCAGGTGGTTGGTAAGTATTTATATATTTCCCTTTTCTCTTATTTTCTCAGGCTTTGTAGTTAACCTAGACAAACAGTGCGGTTTTCCAAGCTGGTGGCCTGGTTGTTGTGCTTGTTGAAGTCACCAGAAAGTCTTATCTAGCCTCACTAGTGCCTGTTATTGTCAACGCAATCCTCAACGATCACCAAGTTGTAGCGGATATTGTGGCGTTTGTCTCTCGCGGCGACTTCCCTAGATCCCGGCTCGGGGAAAAGCAACGCGGCAAGATTCTCGGTTCGTGGGTAACAAGAAAGATGCGTACAATAGCTCAATTCAGCATACGCGATGCCGATGGAGCTGACCCTCAGATGTTGGGTCAGAGCCGCATGAGCAGAGAATCCAAGACGGGAAGTATCATGGGCGGCAGTAGTCTTCGACGATCAACGCTTGTTCCTGATAGTGATTCCAACACACATGCTCCACCGCCTGTGCAGGAAGGCCGGGAACTTGTCGATGCTCCATACACAATGCAAGAAGACGAGGAGGAGAAGCATTACCAGGATCTCCTCAATAATGAAAACGGTTATCAGGAATTTAACGATGACACTCATGAAGTCCGACCATTGCAAACAAGAAACCCGGACACGACAGTTTATCAACCTCTCAGCATCGAAACATACGACGACTATGAGAAGGACAGCAATCAAACGCCGGTCCTAAGTCCAAACCATCACGGATTTGATTTTGGTTCCGATTTTGGTCCCGATTTTGGTCAATCGGCATTTGGCGATGACTTTCAGTCTCCCGGTGGCCGCTCCAGAGGCGTGCCATCTGTTGCAATAGCGCCTCCATCGACTTCGGGTTCCCAAGAATCACGAGTCTCGCATGCAAGTCCACCTTCAGGCCCAGCTCGCGATAGGGGCTCTCTACCAAGCCAACAACAACGATTTAACCGTCAGCCCATGAATCCAAATGACAGTTATCGACCACTGTCTACCGAGGAATGGCCACAAGAGGCTCTTCTCTACCAGTCACGCTTTGATTCATATGGCTCAAACGGACATGGCGGACAAGGCGCCCCCAAGTACGGACAGCAGCAGCCTCATGATGAAAACGACTTCAGAAACAATTTCCTCTAAAAAGCCCACAACAATAACAACAAAAACAGAGTACAGATATTGTTTTCTGGAATTTCCTGCCAAAGATAGATCGTACCTTTTTTTTGGATGATACTTTACTTTCCTTTACTTTCCGAGCGATTTTGATATCCCCTTCCTTTTGCCCTTCCCTTTTTTCGTGTCCCATCCTCGTCCGTTAAGAGTGAGTGTTCTTGGTTTATGTATTCTATATCCCCAAAACTCGCATACACGATTTGGTTGATATGAACGTATAATTAGCATTTCTGGTTTTTTTTTTTTTTTTTTTTTTTTTTTTTTTTTTTTTTTTTTTTTTGTTTGTGTGTTCTGTCGCGTAAAGCATCATTAAACAAAAGAATCAAGTAATTTCTTTAGCCCATTGGCTTTCGGGCTTTTATGTGTATAGGGCCTGCATGGACCCTTACTAAGATAAAGAAAGAACGTATCCCATGCTAATAAGATACATGATCTCTGCTACGGAACATAGTCATTGCAATTTATTGATTTATATATAAACGAACCAATTGTCAGACTAGACCACAATTGGGCGACATTAGTTAATTACTTTCATTGGCAAAACTTTAAAAAAGAAGCTGAAACTTTTTTTGATCCTTTACCTTTTCTTTTTCTCATATTAACAGAAAGAAAGAAAAAGAAGGACATTTACAATTCCTGAACCTGCTTTTCGAGTTTCTCAATATCAGTCTTTTGTTGATGCACACCATCTGCGACCGCCTGTTTATCCTGTTCATCTGGTTTGCGAGCGCTTGATGAGAGGTGCTCGATAGCTTGGATATCTTCATCGGTTAGGGTGTTGGATCGCACAGGGCGGAATGGAGCTGGTGATCCGGCGCTGGATGTGAGGAACTAGATTGATTATTAGGAGAAGGTACAATGAAAGAGGAGAACGAGCGGATTAACTTACAGAGCTAGCAGCACTCAGAAGTGCAATTAAACTGGCTTGAACGACGTCTTGATGGATACCAACACCCCAGACTACCTCTTTGGATCGAGCAGCCGTGCACTGGATATAAGTAGCAGCACGAACATCCCTTCCAACACCAATAGAATGTTCCTTATAGTCTTGCACGTCGAGATCAATGCCCAAAGTAGCAAGTGCATTGGCCAACGAGGAGATGGCACCTGGGCCAACACCGGTAATGGGATGTTGGGCGCCGTCAATCTCAATAATTCCTGTAAACCGACGGTTCAGGTTCCGTGTGTTGAGCACCTTGCCAGGCTCCGGTGGTGCTGGTGACTGTGATCGATCGGTGGTGATATTGTAATCGATCAGAGTGAAACGGGGGTTTGTCTTTAGGTGATAGGCATTTTCGAACAGAGACACAATTTCGCTTGGGCGGAGCTCACGGCTGAGTTTCTCGGTTTCTTTTTGAACAATCTGACTGAATTCAACTTGTAATCCACGCGGGAGATCGAGTTCCAGACCCTTGAGGATGATCCACGCAGCACCGCCTTTGCCACTTTGGGAGTTGACGCGAATGACGGCCTCGTATGTTCGACCAATGTCTTGCGGGTCCAGGGGAAGGTAGGGAATTTCCCAACGATCCTCGACACTACTATTGGCGGTTTCACGAGCAACAAAGCCCTTTTTGATGGCGTCTTGATGACTACCACTAAAGGCACATACCACCAACTGACCTCCATAGGGCCAGCGTTCGTTGACTGGGATCTTATTGCTCTCTTCAACAACCTTGATGACTGAGTTGAGATCTGAGAAATCAATTCCTGGATGGATGCCCTGGGTGTAAAGGTTCAGTGCCAGGGTGACCAAGTCAACATTGCCTGTTCGCTCTCCATTGCCGAACAAAGTGCCCTCAACTCGGTCTGCTCCGGCCATCTGGGCAAGCTCAGCAGCTGCAACAGCGCAGCCACGGTCGTTATGAGGGTGGAGAGAGACAGCAAACTTGTTGCGCTCGGTCATGTTGCGACAGAAAAACTCGATTTGATCAGCATAGACATTTGGTGTGGACATCTCGACTGTGGCAGGCAAGTTGAAAATCATAGGATGCTCCTCCGTTGGACCCCAGGCGGCTTTGACAGCTTCACAAACCTCAACGACATAGTCTGGGTCGGTGTCAGAGAATGTTTCGGGAGAAAACTCGTATTGCCATTCTGTTCCCGCCGTTGACGGATCATCCTTGGTGATAGACCGAGCGTATTTTGTACACTTGACGGCCAATGCCAAACTCTGCTCTTTCGTCATACCGAATACGATCTTGCGGAAGCAGTCGCTAGTAGCCAGGTAGAGATGAAGGATGGCCTTCTTTGCACCTTTCAAGGAATCAACTGTGCGGCGGATGAGATCCTCTCGACACGGAGAAAGCACTTGGATCCAAACATCATCGGGGACAGTTCCCGGGGTTTCGATTACTCTACGAGTAAAGTCAAAATCGGTCTGTGACGCAGATGGGAATGACACTTCAATCTCCTTGTAGCCGAGCTCAACGAGCATATTGAAGTACTTCCATTTTTGATTTCCGTCCTGCCACCAGAATATCAGCACCACCTTACAAGTCTTTGTATAGTGTAGATCGCACCATTGGGTCTACCAAGCTTTGGTTACCATCTCGCAGGTCGGTTGCTAGCCAACGAGGAGGCTTATCGATTGTCTTGTTTGGCCATGTCCGGTCTGGGAGGTTCAACGGCTTAAACCGCTTGTATTTCTTGGAGGGGTCTTTGAGCCTGCACAGATACTAGGTCATCAGAGCCAAATCCAACACATTTTTCCAAGACGAGAGGCAGAGTCAATCATACATAGGCATTCTGTCTGACTGTGGGCTCGGCCCAGGCGGGGTGGAAGCGATAAAAAGCGATAATAAAAAAGAAGGCGGGGCCTATCGTCGCTGTGCAGCGAAGGGTGCGAGTAGAAAAGGTAAAGCTGGCTAGCACGCAGCAGTCAATTGAAAGAAGGACAGGATTGGATCGACACTTGGAGGAGAAGACGGAGTGGCGAGCTCTTTTGGACTGCGAGAAAGTTGAGTTTTTATGGGGTAGCACAGCACTCCGAGTCCGGCCATGACTCATCACGCACGTCCTTAGTGTGACTACGTTCTACCAGGTCCATAGTTACTACACAGTGCTGTATAACATAGTGCACTGGATTTCATGCTCTCATTCGCTTGCAAAATTCCCGATCTGCGTAACTCGTTCCTACATTGGACTCTGCCAAATTAAGGTCTCTGGAGATGTACCTGTACAGCATCTTTTCCCGTAATATTCCGCTGAAGTATAGTATAGCTATCTAACAGGCCAAAGCCTATTCCGTACGCACGCTACTCACTACTTGTGCTCTTTTTCGGTCAGTTATTGGACTCCTTGTAACTTCTCTAAGACGGTGATTTCTTCTTTGAGGTAGACTTCGCGTTGGAAAATTGATATCCCACACCATTCTTCGGTTACAAATCTGCGCCACCAATCCTTTTGATCCTGGCAAGAACTGAAGGAAGTGAGAGAGGAACTTCTGTGTCTCTTGCTGCTGATTCGTATTTATTCCGACGCAATAAGGCGTCTTCAATCTCTCGAAGACTTTCATCCTGAACTTGGAGCTGTATTCGACTGCGATGTATATTCCTCGTGTTGAGACTAATGGGAAAAGTAGTGAATATATGATAGGTCTTCTTTTATGCTCTCTCTTGAGTTTCACTCCAGGAAGTTGATGAGTTTGCTCGATAAATTTGTGAGAGCCTCGGATTGTATGGAAATGGACGATGTCATGTGAGGTAATTAGCCCTGCCTTCCCAAAATGGCAATTCTTGTTCTATGTCAAATGGAAAGCAAAAACAGCCAAATGTTCATGAAACACTGTTTATATACATAGAATCTGAGTTATATGCAACATGCAATGAGGTATTTTGTACTCGTCAGCATCACTTCCTACTTTTCTTCGCCTTCGCTTTGTTCCCACCAGCTTTCTTTGGCCCCGTCTTCTGCTGACTGCCACGATTACTTTCACGATCCTGCTTTCCTTTCTTCCACATGCGCCCTTCCTTGCGATCCCGAGTATCATCCAACCGCTTCTTTTCTTTGCCACTCAACTTCCGCTTCTCCTTCTTGCTCTCAGACGCACTCGGCCCATTAAGTTCCAACAAGCCGCGCTTCTGCGCATCCTGCTTGTCCTTTTCGCTCTCGAACCAAGTGCGTTTGGGCCGCGACATGATCTCGCCCTGGTGTTTGAGGAGATTCTCACCCTTGGAAGTCTGCATTTCAACCTGTGCCAGCTCCTTCTCTTCCTTTTCTTCGCGCAGAATTGCGTCGAGTTCGTCGTTCATATCTTCAATTTCCGCGGCAAGTTTGTCGGTGATTTCGGCTTCAATGACCCGACTGACGATTTTGGCTCCTTGCGTCTTCCCTGCTTTGACCGCTGCTCGCACGACTTTTCTGTCCGGTTCGGCTGCCAGTGTGCATGCTCGACCAGATCTTCCTGCACGCGCCGTACGACCAACACGATGCAGGTAAATCTCGTGTGTCTGCGGAGCTTCGTAGTTGATTACCGTCTCGACGCCTTTGATATCAAGACCTCGAGAAGCGACATCTGTTGCGAGGAGAAACGCAACTTTTCCGTCGCGGAAGTCTTCCACACTTTTAATACGCTGCGTAATAGTCAGTAAAGATCATATAGGGAGAGCAGAGAGAGGAAAATGATGTACCTGTTCTTGACTCATGCTACCATGGAGCTCTGCGGCTTTCAGCCCAAACAAACCAAAAATAACCCTAACGCGGTGTGCTTCTTTCTTCTGACGGAAGAAAATAATCACGCGAGCTGTGTAGACTTTTTGACACAGATGTATGAGCGAAGCAAGTCTCTTGTCCTCACGGCCCTGTCGCAGTCTGACGAACTCCTGAACCAGCGTCCCCGCGGTCTGTTTCTTCGCATCAACCATTAGGCGTACTGGTCGGTTCAAACCTACACGAATGAGCTTGTCCACAGAATCCGTCATCGTAGCAGAGAAGAGCATAGTTTGACGCGACTTGGGAATGGTCGTCAAGATCTCGTTCAATTCATCCGCAAATCCGTCCTCGAGCATCCGATCTGCTTCATCAAGAACGAGAATCTCCAGTGTATCAACCGTGAAACTCGCTGAATTTCTCATGTGGTCAATGAAACGACCAGGAGTTGCGATGATGATATCAGGCCGTTTCTTCAATATATTCTCCTGCTCGCGCAGGCTGAATCCACCAATGAGTTGACAGAAGGTTATGTCAGTGTATGTAGCAAGTTTCGTAGCCACATTGTAGCACTGCACGGCAAGTTCACGAGTTGGCATTAGAATAGCCACGCGACTGGTAGGCACTTTGCGTGGCCGGTATAGAAGACGCTCCAAGACGGGGATGATGAAAGCACCTGTTTTACCGGAGCCCGTAACAGCGCCACCAACGACATCTTTGCCCAACAGGGCGACGGGGATAGTCTTGCGCTGGATAGGAGTCGGATTCGTAAACCCAACAGCCGCCAAGCCGCGAAGAATTGGCCGCGAAAGATTATAGTTCTGAAAAGAGCCATTGGCAGTATTGTCGTCAAAGTCTTTGCCTTTTGTGGCAGGTTCTTCGGGTGCAAAGAAAGCTTTCCTTTTCTCTATTTCCTCTGCATTCTCACTCTCTGACTCAGATTCCTGGTCAGATGCAAGGTCGTCCGGGTGCGCAACAGGGGATGCTACTGAGTCGTTGTCATCCTCATCCTCATCCTCATCGTCGGACTGGGAATTCTCTTTTTCGTCACCATCACTGTTCTCTGCAGCTTCATCATCTCCTGCCTCTGCACCGTCAACACCCATCCCGAACCCATCAGCTGCCAGCAACTCGTCGTCGTCAAAATTGGGAATTTCTTCCTCATCACCACTTTCTTCGGTGTTATCATCACTATCACCATCTTCTTTCTCCTCTCCCTCGCTGTCGAAGCCTTCAAACTCTTGCTCAGATTTCTTCTTTTCGGCCTTCTTCTTCTTCTCATTCTCTTCCGCCTGTTTCAACTTTCGTCGAGCAATTATATCGTCAATATCGACAGCTTTCTTTTTATTGCTGCTCCCTCCGTCATCGGAATTGCGCTTGCTATCATCCAACCCCCAACCATCAAAGTCTTCAAGAACGTCTCGCGCCGCATTACCGCCAATATCAAACTCAAAGTCCGGATTGAGAGCGCCATCATCCTCACCAACTACTTCATCTTCTTGATCCGCAATTTCTTCTCCCAGCTCCGATTCATTGTTTTGTGACTTTTGCTGCTTCTTTTGCTTCTTTTTGTGCAATCCTCCGTTTTGTTGTTGCTGTTGTTCGCGCTTTCGCTTTTTGGAAGTATTATTGCTGACAGCGGTATCTTCTGGTGTTATATCGTCATTGTCATCAATAACGACATCGTCCTCGGCATCAGACAATGTAAGCACGAAATCATCGTCTGCTCGTTTCGACTTTTGGCCCATGGTGGGCAAGTAGGGCAGGGTAAGAAATTCGACAATTCAAAACGGAAAAAGTGGGGGAAAAATGGCTTAAAGATAAGAATCAACCAATCTATAATGGGGGTTGAAACCAATTCGGTTCTTGTATGGCTGCTGAGTCTTTGAATTCCTCACTTCTCATGAAATTGTTGATGCTCTCTTTATTGCCGAAAAAAGTTTCTCAAAAAGTCAGGGCGGTGAATAATTAAATCCGGCAGAACAAACTGGTCTTTAGGGTGAGCGTTATGATTGGCTGTTGGGTCATTCCCACCGCCTGCCCCACCGGTACCAGGTGCCTTATTTTTCAGGTGTATATATATTGACTAGTGAGGCAGGTTTTAATTTTTGCAGGTCAAGAAAAATAGCAACACTTTTGATTTTTTTATAGCATCGTTAACCATGAAAAGCAATTATCGAGAAAAGGGGGATATTCTACATCTAACAAACAACATCAAAAAGGAAGAAAAGTTTCACAGAATACCACAAAATAGAAGCAAATCAAAACAACCCGAGCCAATCGCAGAAAAAAGCCAAACCGGCGAGAAATCTATTCACAGACAGGACCAAACAACAAAAAAACAAAAAGAAAACAAAAAACAAAACAGAAAGAGAGACATTACAATCGCGCCGGCAATCCCCGAAAGTCTTGATGATTTCCTTCTTTTCCATATCCGAACGACCAGAAACACATAACATCGACTCCGAGAACAATCTAAAATGGGAATAAAAGGAGGCTCTGAAAGGGCGAGTCACACACACAATATGCCAGAAGAAGAGAGGAAAAAAACTAGCAGTAACCTGTACAGATAGTTTCCAACGAAATCCCATTTATTGGAAAGGCTTGTGTAGCCGATGAATCCTCAGGGGAAAGTAGACGTATCATCGCATTGCTGTGAAAATAGCAACAGTTTGGAATTGACTGGTCAAGAGACACTCGGAGTGAAGTCCTCGTGAATGGCCTTGGTATGACCTGCGGCGCGGAAAAAGCATCATGAAGCTAGCCAATAATATCAGGACAAAATTCGTTGAATGTAGAATACATCGCAAGTATTCCTAGGTAGTTCATCGTTCTATTGCCATGCGAATGGTGCGCTTGCAGTTAAGGGGCATTCTCTAATTTCCGCGGCTCACATCGAGGACAATACGGTTGTCTTTTTCCCGGTTCTTGTTCGAATAGCGCTGGCCGAGGCATAGTGAGCAAAATAGGTATCTAATAAAACCACACCACACGGATACGGTGATTTCATCCTCAAAAGTGCTTATTACATCAAGCCTTCCTCTCCAATGCCAGGAAGTCCAGCACCGGCAACATTTATATTTTGGCCTTGCATAACGCCCCCTACATTCAGACCACGACCTGCAAGCTGAAGATCAGGATTGCAAGGCGGGGAATGCAATTTGTGGTATTTAAGCCCATTGAGGTTTTTGTAACGCTTGCCACACACTTCACAGCGATAGGGTTTCTCCTTCTCCATTCCCATTGTGCCAGGATATGGTGCCGAAGTCTCTGGATTCACTATAGAGAATGTGCCATCGCCGTTCTCATGCAATTGTTGGTTGTTGTGACCGTGCTGTCAGATCTGTTAGAAGGAGCCTAGAAAAAAGAAATGTATTATATTGAGGTCTCAAACTTACCGCTTTATGATACTTCAATCCGTTTTGGTTCTTATATGCCTTTTCACAACCTATGACAGGACACCTGTAAGGTTTGGGCTCTTCATTTGGGAACATGCCGAGCGAAGTATCGGGCACACCAGCAAGCATTTGTTGTTCTCGAATCCGCTGGGCTATGTCGCTGTTAGGACCATATTGGCTATTTCCTAACTTGAGATGGGCTTGCGAACTTTGTCCTCCAAATCCTCCGTTGGGACTGAACAGACGTTTGGCAGGCTCGTCAATGCAAAGATCAACCATATCATTGCCACCTCCGAATCCAGAAAATTGTCCATTCGGTGGCAGCGCGCCGGTTTGCATATTAAGGTCACCAAACCCTCCTAAGACGCTCTCGTCAAGCTCAGCCGGTGTACCGGGACCGGAAGAGTCCGGCGTATTGCGGAATTGAGAATTTTGTAGGGGATTAGAAGACAAAGTTGGCGTGTTGACTGAGGATACTGTAGGGTTGTTTTGAAGAAAGGTGTTTCCGGATGCAATGGGTGTGCCTGGCTGGGATCCACGGAGCCCTGGGCCTTGAAGCATGCTGAGATTCAGTTGAGGAACTCTCGGATTCGGTGATGTAAATCCTCCTTGGGTAGAGGGTATCTGCGAGGAGAACATTTGGGAAGACGTTGAGTCCGACACGCCCATCGCATCGTCCATCTCCATATCATCGAGGTCTATACTAGGCTGTGAAGTAAATGTGTTTGTATCTATTGTCTGGTTCGGATTGTATTTTGTCTGTTCGTGTGTTGAACGGTCTGGTTGCATTCCGCGATCTTGGCCCATACTTGACTGACCCTGGGATTGAGCCACCGCGGCAGCTGCAGCGACGATGGCAGCTCGATTATCGCCTTGGCCAGGGCGTTGTACGCCTTGCGGAGACTTTTGCGCGTGAGCTTCTTCGTAATGCTGTAACAGGTCATGTAATGTCGGAAGAGTAATTCCACAGCATGAGAAGTCACGCATAAAATTCGCTTCTAATTTTGGCAAATATGAAGAAGAATGAAACGAGGGCGATTGGAAGGTGAATGGAGATGTGCCGGTCATGATGATACTATGCAAAAATTGTTAGCAGCCAGCTTTTAATTAATTGCATGTGTAAATAAATAAGGAACGATCGAAGGGAGATGATTAAGCGACATTCCCGAAAGCCGAGTGGGAGAAACATCTGATAAAGAAAGACAAGGGAGGATGTGAACTGACTCGTCTCGTATCCAACTGCCAACTGAAACTCCACCCCAGCTCATGCCGCCGACTAGACTACCGGCTAGGGATTCGCGACGTGGCTTCTCTCTGTTTGAGCCCATCACTGAGATGGGTTTCGTTCCATTTCCCCATTGAGACATACTGGCGCCGAGTGAGTCTTTTCGAGCTGCAGCTGCTTTGTAGACAGCACTTGCGTTGTTGGCAGCTGGCACTGAGAAATTGCCAGCGCGATCATTACTGGCAGCTTTCTGCAGCGCGGAGGTCAAATTCGACGCTTGCTGGCCCGGTGGCGATACTGACGTCTGTCGAGCAGCGATATCGAAGGGGGCTTGCTGACCGCTCATCGTGCCCGTGTCTCCTAAGGACGATGGGAACAAGGGAAAGCTGGAGACGTCAGTCTCTGGGAGAGTCGAGTCTGGATGAAGAGCGCGATTCGCGACGTCTGTCGATTGCTTAGAGTCCCAAGCAAACGAGCCTTGTCTGCGACTGGCTGGCTTGCGTTTTGCAAAGGATATTGAGGCAAAATCGACGGGCGTGCTGATGGTCGTCGACTCGCTGGTGGAAAGATGGTCGTGGTCGCTGGCGGAAGGCGAGTAGTAGAGAGACGGAGGAGTGTCTGTATCTGTCGCGTCGGTCATGGGAATCAAGGCTGGACAAAGTTGGTGTTTGTTCTGCCAAGTTGTGGTGAGGTCGAAGCACCAAGAGTTTTCCTTGGGGCTGACAGCAGGTGGCGAGGCCGAAGACTCGAAGAGTAGAGTAAGACAGACGATGTCGAGCAGAGAATAAATGCTGACGGAAAGAAAATCTAGGTTCCCCTCTCGCAACGGACTGTGCTCACTCGCAGCAATTCATCCCAAACGAAAAAAAATAGATTATTATTGTTAGTTAGGGTGGACGATGAGGAGGGGACACCACGGCCGGGTGGATGGATTAATACGGGGATCTGGTTCCGGCTCAATACAGGCGCCCGTTACCGCTAGGCCGCGCCGGGGCTAGCGCAGTGGGCGTTTGCTGCAGCGCCCATAGAAACCGCCGGCATTATTACGTACGAACCAAACGGCGGGTTTAGGATTACGATGCGTTACGGGGCGCCCGTTGGCGACTTGCACGAATCAGGCATAGTCCCGGCGTGGGCTCCGTAACCACGGCGTATCCAAGTGTATTCTGAGCGTATCGACTCCGTAACTATTGAATCGGCAATAGTTATTGAGTCATTGACTGCTCCCTTTCAGCCGCCCGCAGACACCGGTGCCGCAGTGCGAATTCCATGATCGGAATGGACGTGAAACCGAAGTTCAGTCTGGATCTGGTGATAGAGTGGGCTCTGGTGATGGAGTTGACGAGTTTCTGGGTGGCCGTTGGTGGCCGGCTGCTGTCTGTGTGGGCTGGGTAGTCAACGATCAATATCAAGTGAAGAGCGTCATTCTCACGCCATGTGAGGGAGATAAAAAGGTGGACAGGATCGTCTTGTCGATTGGCTGTGATGTGTCGACACTAGGATCGAATCGGCTTGTCCTGCATAATGATACATGTCAACATGTCAATGATCGGTGACGACCAGATCACATTCATAAATCTTACACAATCCAGTCTAACATACGACGGTTACTAACTTACTCGAGCGCTGCTATAGTTAGTCGACTATGTTATTAGTTAACTAGGTGATGATTAGCTGACAGCTCAACGTCGGGGTCGTCCGGCCATCATCAGCGTACGGCAGTGATTAATTGGCACAATTAACGCCGTTGGTGGCGTCGAGTCGCCGAACACCCCGAGTCTTGCTTTCTCCGCCGTAGTCCCCCATCATGCTTCTTGTCCGTATTCTGCTTGATCTGGACAAAGAGAAAGAAAGAGAGACAAGATTCGCTGGTGATTTGAATTGGCCAATAGGTACGGAGTAGCTGTTCGTTACCGTTACTAGTGAAACGCGTTCTGTTTCATAGGCCACGTGCGAATAATAACGAGGGTTGCATAATAGAACCCAGGTATTCAATAAATGCTCCGTGTTGAATGCAATGAAGAACCGGTTTACCTACGCATTTCCTTGCTAGCCAGGTACAAATTGCCACCCATTGGCTAGGCTATGTGTACTTTATTCTTTACGAAAAGAAAAGGATGATTGCGCCTAGTTACCTAGTACGTAGTAGTTGGGAGGCAAGCCTCCACTATACAGACTCCAGTGGCATTAAGGATCGAATGCGCATGTGACTATACTCCTTGCCTTAAGAAAACCCTCCATAGTTACCAGTTGTTCTTCAGTCTAAAGACCAAATACTACTTACTAGTGCTTACGACAGAGTGATCAGTGATAAGCTGTAACTCATAGTTGTATCAAAGAGGAGAGTGACAATAGGTGACTTGCCTTTGCCGTCCACTGTCTAACTTTTTGGTCCCGAAGCAACCCACTAGGACTACGTAGTGGGAAACTTTCGATCGACGTGAAACCGCTCGTAACTTTATTCCACGAGATATGGAATCCGAGTACGTCCGTAGTAGAAAGAGAGAACTCGATGGCGGATGCGGAATGCTTCGAGAAGATTGGCAGGTGCTTCTAGCTCCGCTGACGGAATAACATGCCCGATGGGGAAATACAGGCGGGGCCCAAGTCGCCGATCCCCGCCGACTCCACCGGCAAACAGTGCAAACACCATCTGCGCTCTGATTGGTCGCTGCTTGCTGTTTCTCTGATTTTATTTTTTCTTGATGTGCGTTCAAAACTTCAAGGCCAAGTGTTGATCCAGCGCATTCTTTTGATGCATATCAGCGCCCTATATATCCGCACTAGTAATTTGCTACTATCGTGCTTACCAATTCCAACTCTGCAAGCACCATCACTAAATTTGCCGCGCTGGTAAGCATGGCGGCCGATCCGGTAAGTGGCTGTGCACAACGCGTGTGTGAAAGCGTCGCATACCTAATGCTATGTTAGATCAATGCGGCCAATGGAGGCAACCACGATGAGCCTCCAGTAAAAAGACAGAAGCTTGACGATGCGAACCCAACCGAGGGTACGACGGCAAAAGATCAACCCGCGGTTGAACGACGGCGGGGTATAGCACCTATCAAAGCAGAGTACGTCTGCCTAAGGAGAGATGCTCAGTCCAATCGCATGGTTTGCTAATCTAGTTGTTCGAACAGGTTTCTGATTACCTCGAATAATGGCAGTCAACCAGCGCCCAAAACCTCAACTCAGGACGATGACATGGCCGAGGGCGCTGCCCATGTGGAAAAGCAGCAGGGCGAGGGGAAACAGAAGCGCAGAGGCCAAAACACTGGACGGAAATTCGGAAAGTCGAAGGACGAGAAGGGCCTCTGTGCGTCGAGGAGTTTATACCCTGAATTTTCTCCAGCTGAATGCCCGTTCGGGCCCAAGTGCAAATTCGAGCACGATCTGCGAGCCTACTTGACCAAGCATAAACGCGAAGACTTGAAGACCTTCGACGGCGTCTGTCCTGTCTGGGCTGTTCGTGGGACCTGTCCTTCAGGATACAAATGCCGCTTCGTTTCTTCCCACATGACCGAGAGAGAAACCGACGATGGCAGACGTGAGTTGGTGCTCGTCGAAGATGAGAATCGCAAACAAAAGTGGTCTTCTATGCCCTTTGCCAACGAGGATGGAACAGTTAATATCGTATCCACGGCAGATAAGGATTCCTTGAGAAGAAGACAAGTCAACACGCCTAAGGCTGATGCGTTTGTCGCTTGGTTCGAACAGACTGGAAAGGAGTTGGACAAGTATGTCCATGGAGGGCGTGACCGCGAAGCGGAGGCTTCCTCAGAAACTCTAGAATCAGACGCTCAGCAGGAAAAAGAGGACAACCGGGCCCGATATACAGAACCCCCATTCCTGCCTTCAGAAAAAAGGAGAATTTATTTTGGTCCAGAAACCCCTGCATTGGCACCTTTAACCACGCAAGGAAACCTGCCTTTCCGCAGGCTTTGTACGGACTTGGGCGCTCAGTTTACATATTCCGAGATGGCAATGGGCATGCCGCTGATCCAAGGAGCAAAACCAGAATGGGCGCTCATGAAAGCCCACCAGTCAGAACTGGCTCCACCGACAATTTCATCCAAAGCAAATATTGTCCAGGACTACGATAATGCCCGTGATTTCAAGTTTGGGGCTCAAATTGCAGCCAACAAGCCGTACCAGGCCTTGAAAGCCACGGAAGTATTGACTGCTCTCACTCCACATCTGCGAGTAATTGATCTCAACTGCGGATGTCCCATTGATCTAGTTTACAGGGAAGGTTCCGGATCTGCGCTTCTTGACAATCCAAGTAAACTAGAGAAGATCCTACGGGGTATGAATGCAGTGTCTGGAGAGATACCCATTACAGTCAAAATCCGCATGGGTACCAGAGATGGCCAACCGACTGCTCTAAAGCTCGTTGAACGACTTACTGTGGGTGGCGCAGACTCTCAAACCATGGGAATTGGGCCCCCAGGTATTGCTGCAATCACCCTTCATGGTCGCAGTAGACAACAGCGGTACTCCAGGAGTGCAGACTGGGGGTACATCTCAGAGTGCGCAGCACTCGTCAAGAGACTCCAAGCGAAATCAGACGATTTATCTGATACTGTCAGAGAATCTGAGGAGAGATTGCAACCCAATGGTGGCAAAATCTACTTTCTGGGCAATGGCGACTGTTATTCCTATGAAGACTACAATGACAACATTCAAAATGCCAACGTTGATAGCATCATGATCGGACGTGGCGCATTGATCAAGCCGTGGCTATTTGAGGAAATCCAGGCCGGTCAGTATCTTGACAAATCGGCCTCAGAACGTTTAGCGCTCGTCGAGAAATTTGCCAGATATGGAATGGACGCGTGGGGTTCTGACGAGCATGGCTTGGGAACAACCAGACGCTTCCTCCTAGAATGGCTGAGTTTTACCTATCGCTATGTTCCTGTTGGCATGTTGGAGTATCTCCCCCCGCGCATCCAAGATCGCCCCCCTGCGTTTAGATGCAGAAATGAGCTCGAGACACTCCTTGCGAGCGACAACTACAAAGATTGGATTAAAATCACGTAAGTTTCACTAGAGCTGTGCTAATTTCCATGATTTTTCTTGCTAATATTTCTTTTCTCATACAGGGAGATGTTCCTCGGACCTGCCCACCAAAACTTTAAGTTCGAGCCCAAACATAAAAGTAACGCGTATGACACGGAAACGCAAGGATAATTCAGAAAGTTTGGCCCAAGCTAGCATTGTCTTGCTCTGTATTGTCTTTTTATCAATATTATGCATAATGAAAAGGACATATATTTGGATTGTCGTTGTCGTAACTTGAATCATGAATTATCTTTCTATGGAGGTAGAAGCCTCTGATTGGCTAATGTAGTTCAAGTAAACTGCACGTGATTTTACACGTGCCGGACATCGAAGCCATTCTCAAGCTTCCCCATACCTTTTTTTTTTTCCTTGACTCACCATTCAATTCTTGTGAAACCAACCTATAATAATTCTCGAACTCAAAACAATCCGAATTCAAACCACGCACGCTATGTCGATAGATCTCAATTGGGAGGCCGCGACTTCCGGGCCTGACGGCGAGCAACTCGCGGAGCGAATACGTGCATTCATCCACGACAAATTCCAGCAAGTGCCTCTTCCACGGTTCATTCGCTCAGTGAATGTCCACTCGTTCGAATTTGGAAGTATCGCGCCGGAGCTTGAGATTAAAGATATTTGCGACCCCTTTGTTGATTTTTATGAGGAAGATGACAGCGAAGATGATGAGGATGAAGATGAGGATGAGGATGAGTATGACGAGGCCAACGATAATGCCCATGACAACGCATCGCACCATTTTTCAATACGAGCCACTACTGCAAATAATAATGGAGGGATAAACAGATATGGGAGTGGCGAGCAGAATCATACGAATCAGGATCATTTACGGACTACGCAATGGGTGACAGGTCAAGATGGCCACCAGTCGTCACCGATGCGCACCCCAATTGGGTTGGGGGATCATTTGAATGCGCAATTCAGGTCTTCAACGCCGACCATTCTTCCGGGAGTTACATCGAACTTGGGGTATCATCTAATGCTCGGAAATTTGTCTGGTACCCAGACGCCGCTGGCCGCTGCTGTTGCAGGTGGGACACCGTTCGCAGCAGGCTGGTCTGATGCCGCGGTGAATGGTAGAAGCCGTACAACTGGAGCAACTGCTGACCGTCATGATGATGATAATGATTCCTATGTGCATCGGCGACAACCCGAAAATAATATCGACAATACCTCGCCGTCTCGGCCGTCAACGGCAAACACGCATCCAACACATTTGTCACATGGGCGCAGTGCAGCTGGTAGTTCATCGAATAATACCAGCAACGACCCAACTGTCATATATAATGAGCACGCATCTTCAGCAGCAACAACAAAAGCCCACACACTCAAAGACGGCGAACAGACGCGAGATAAGCAATCATCCACTATAATGACAGATTCGCATGAAGAATCGGCACCGCACATGCGCGAGCGTCGCCCGGAAGATTTCCAGGTAATCTGCCGTGTGAAATACTCCGGAGACGTGAAGCTTTCCTTGACAGCAGAAATCTTACTTGACTATCCGATGCCGAGCTTTGTCGGGCTTCCATTGAAACTCAATATTACCGGTATCACCTTCGATGGTGTTGCGGTGGTAGCGTATATCCGTCGCAGAGCCCATGTATGCTTCTTATCCCCTGAGGATGCAGATGCACTCGTGGGCGAGGATGAGAATGACGAAGATCACAGGTATCATCGCCAACAGAATCACCCATACACGACTGGCAGTGTCGATGCCACCTCTACAGAGCATAATAATACTAGTATTCACAATAATAATCATGGCAACAAACATCCCGAAATCCCGCCACCACAACCAAAACGACGTTTCAGCAGTCTCCTACAACAGATACGTGTTGATAGCGAGATTGGCCGCAAAGAGAATGGGAAACAAGCCCTCAAGAATGTGGGCAAAGTCGAACGTTTCGTGCTTGATCAGGTTCGGCGCATTTTCGAGGATGAGTTTGTGTACCCCAGTTATTGGACGTTTCTTGTGTAGAATAGTGAAGATGGGAGGAGGAATTGTAAAGATTATCTACATTTATGATTCTATACACTCAGGAATCATCACCGTCCCGTCCGGAGTAACCCCTGCGCTTATTCCAACATGATATTTTATTGGACACCGATCACGTGTTTCCCCGCAAGTCTCCCCTTCTCTTCTTTTCGTGGGGACTCGGGACTCAGAGACCCAATTGAGGTCAAAAGATCTTTTGCGCGAACATGAATTGACGGCTCAACTACCCTCTATTCATACCTTGGGCGTCGAAAGATTAAGATGAGTACCGCAGCAGCTACCAGAGTTGCCTCGAAATGTACCCCCCGAGCTTGTGACCAATGTAAGCTGCGCAAGACCAAGGTAAGATACATTAGACCTCTATTTTCCTCTCGCAGTGTTCATCGCTTACCTATATACGCAGTGTGGCTTGCCCCAGCCATGTGCAGCATGCGTGGCACTGGGCGTAAAGTGTACATTTCTCAATCCACAGAAGAAGAGAGGCCCGGCAGGACAGTAAGTCTGTCCATTGCTCGAACTCAACGTATTATGGGTTTGCACTGAAGTTGATGCACAGCCGTCTATCGCAAATCCGAAAACAACAGAACCAGACGAGAAGTCTGGTCGGCGATTGTAGCAGTACTAGTAGTATATCTTCTGGTCCGGTGCCGCCGAGGCATGTTACCGAGAATGTTTCTGATTTCCAGCTATCGCCAATGACGAACGCAGAGCTCATGACTCAAATGGAGATGCCACAATTTGCACAGCAACTAGGGCAATTGGATGATATGCAAGTCGGATCCAGGACATTGTCTGACCGAAGAGACAGTCCAGCGTGGGCTGAAACTCCCGATCTTGAGTATTGGCTTCCAGATAGCTTCGCTTCTCAGACTCCGTCATTTGGCTTCTCTGGAAGTAACATATTTGTCAAAACTGCGCTTCCTCCTATTATTGATCCTCAAACCAGCCAGCCCGCTTCCAATGTGCAGTCGGGAAGCTCCCCGAATATACCCCCCATACCGGAAGTACCTTTGGCCTCTCCCTCCTATCAGCAAGCCCACAACTTTTGGCCATCTTTTATTAGTGAAACGAGTCTCATTCCTTGGATTGACGTTTATTTCGATCGCTTGCACCCAACGTTACCTGTGTTTAACAGATCCTCATTGTTCATCAAAATAATACTACAGGAACATCGAAATAATCCGCAATTTGGTGCCATGGTTTTGTCTCTCTGCGCCTTTTCTCTTACGCAACCGATTGATATCAGCGAGCGACCGACTTCATCCTCGAGAGCCGATCAAGCACGGATTATGATGGATGAAGCCACAAAGATGCGCAGCTCATCGGATTTTGGTGAGAATCCTACCTTGGAAGCGGTTCTAACTAGCTTTTTTCTTTTTGGATGTTTGTTTGGAAGTAATCAGCACAATGCAGCGCGACTCCGTTTGCGGGAAGCTCTAGATCTGGCCTCTACGTTGGGGTTGAATGATCCGAGTACGTACGTGGACTTTTCCAGCGAGGAGAAAGAACAGTGGCTACGAACGTATCTGGTTCTATCTGTGACGGAGAGGTAACTTCTAGCATCCAAATCAAACTCAATTTTTCTACATGCTAATAATGCCAATGTGGTCAGAGCATATGCCCTCCAGCGACGACACTCCATTACTTTTACTGGCAGGCCAAAATATACCATGCGCGCCACTGATGACTTCCTCTACAATGCCACGCATAGCCTTATATCCGGAATTATTGTTCATAATGAGAAAGATGCAGCCGGAATGATGGGCCTTGCTCTTCTGATGGAAATCTTCGACGCCATCGACGAAGAAATCCTCATTTGTTGGAATTCCCGCTGTGATGCCAGCAATGGGAAGTGTCACGTACTTTCCGAAAGCAAAGTTCTGAGCATTTACCGCAATCTCGCTCGGGTGAGCGATTCGAGTCGATATACCAGCAATGACTGGTTTGACCCAGATCATTCACACGCCACGGATCTAGACAATGCAACTAAAATATTGGGCAGCTTTCTTACTGAAACGCAATGTGCTGATGTGTTGATTTCTCAGAAATGGGTGCAGGATCGACTATGGAATTTGTGTCTCAGTCATGGTCTTCTCAAGCCACAATCGGAACATTCGGAACTTCGATCTTCTTATGCATTTCACAATGCTGAGAAGACTCTTGAGCTATGTAAAACATTACGAATCAGTGCGATGGAAGCTCATGGGATCGGCATTGTGAGATTTTCCCCTCCCCTTTTGTAGGAATGGAATGAGTGCTAATTCATATCATAGATTGAGAAGTTGTACAACATTGCAACCAGCGCTGTGATGGCACCATACACCACGGGAAACATTGGAGCCGACATTGGAATGTCTGACACATTGATGCATCGAGATGTCCTTGCGAGACATTATCTGAAACTGCTGGAAACTCTTCGTGGCGGCAATCATCCGTACACAGAGCAGTACAGAGCACAACTAAGGTCGATGTATAATGGGGATTTCTAATTATTATTATACATGAGGCCCCCCCCC